TGAAAAATTCACAGCTGTGACTGAATACCTACTGCAATATGACTTCATGGTTGTAAAATGTATATTGCTGTCCTATGTAAGACTGACATATTTTAGACACTCAAAGCTCAGCAGCAGGTCTGTCTCTGTTTTTATGCATTTCATTTTGCTATTGGAGAAATTTTCATTTAATCTTTTTGTTCTGTGAGTCTGGCGGTAGTATCCCGCTCCTCTGGACAATTGATGAAAGACCCTGCTGAATAAATTTTTTGAAAACCAAACTGCAATCCATTCTTATCATAATCAGTTCGGTTTCTCAGGAAGATAAAATATAAAATATAAATTGTTTTTTTCAAATGTTTCCCGAGCATAGACTTCTCTTTAGTGTTAAAGCCAAGCAAATGTCTACCTGTAAAATCAGCTCAACTCTGAAAATGTAGGGGTTCAGGTGTGCCAGACTTGAAGCTTCACTTCTTTCTGATATTTTTTTCAGAATAATTTTGCAGACTTAACTCCTGCTAAAAGTTACACTAAAATCTTTTTCCGTACTTGAGAACAGATGGCAAAGTAAGCTATAGGGAGACTTTAAGAGGGTGTTACACAAAGCTAACAGGAAGGCCATGTTACAAAATGATCAGGATGTCTGGCAGCGCCTCAAAGAAAAAATCTCATGCAGATGATCGCATGAACCATCTCTTTAGCACTGTTGAATCCCATTTGAACCATTTGGCAGATTAAACTTAATTCAAAGCCAACTGAGAAAATAAAAAAAGCTTCTGCTGTTTTCTTTCATCACACCAACAACCAGCAGCCATCAGTCACTCTTGTTGCTTTAAACGTTTTTTAACCTTGTTATTACTTAAGATAGCAAAAGGCCTCATCACTCATCAATATAGAGTTCAAACTGACTGTGGACTGTGAAACTTTCAGGTGGGAATAACCTTCAAGGATGAACTGCTACAACTAGAAATACAAATGAAGAATGCGTGCAGGATCCAATAACACCCCTATTCGACTTGATTTTGTCTGAGATGGGCTTAGGAAAACGGAAAACGTTTTTCTACAGTCTAATGCACACTGCATCCTTTAATATAAAGAGAAAAGGGACCATCCATCATGGCTGCAGAACATTTCACGGATGCCGTTTCATTCACATAGTGGAGGTGACCATGTTTATCAGGGTACCATTGATTTTGAACTGGAAGCAAAGGCTCAATAGCAACATTTGCTGCCATGCAAATGATGTCCTTTCAAGGGAAGTGCTTGCTTTCAGATCGTACTCTGAGCATGACTAAGAGTCAGGGTGCCGAGCTTGCCGGCCAGCAAGTGCTCCCACACATTTCTCATAATTGTCACATCATGAAAGGAATAATATGACACAACAGCCCCATATACTCTGATCCGCTGAAAATATAGCTGAGCTAAATTAAGGACAGTAAAGTACAGTTCACTGTTTTTTTCAGTGGAGTCGTATCTTTTAATATTTTACCATTTCAATTGAATCATTACAGAAAGGATTTATATGTAAATTCTGAATTTCATTCACTTTTTACATAGTATTAGTTGAGTTGACACATTAGCTGGACTTATATTACAATTTACAGTATTTTAGCATCTATACCTAAATCGTTCACAAGAATAAAGGCATATTTACTCTTAAAAAGTATGTTTTTAGACTAATACACTAACCAGGGTGCACAGCAACAGTCAATAAAAAACTGCTAAGTTCGTTAGTGTTTCCATAGCAACTGGTGATGACAATTACTGACCAGTAGTACTAACAATACATAGAAAGGGAAAGACTTGTCTTTAAACTTTATATGGAAGTAATAATGACCATTATTGTGATTATCAGCCTTTATATTATCTATGTAAACTACATCTAACAAATCAGTAATGGGTGGAACTGAGGCTGCATGACTCAGTAAGAGAGCCACGTCTTTTATCTTAAACCCACGCTGCGTTTTACCCTGTATGTGTCATATATGAGGCCAGCACGTGGTGTGGTGGTTAGCACCATCGCCTCACAGCAAGACGGTCCCCTTTCTGTGTGGAGTTTGCATATTCTCCCTGTGTCTGCGTGGGTTCTCTCCGGGTTCTCCGGCTTCCTCCCACAGTCCAAAAACCTGCATGTTAGGTTGATTGGACATTCCAAATTGCCCTTATGTGAAGCTCTTTCAATACTAACTCCAATAAATGGAGAGGAAAGGGTAATGACTCTTATTATTTTCTCCCAGTGCACTGAGCATACACTTAACCTATCGTCTTCCTCAACATATGCTGACCAGTATCAACTATCAAGATTTCTCAGCACAGAAATGCTATGATAGCAAGCTTTCCTGTGGAAGATGAGTCAGTCAGTAAAGACAAAGAGGTTGTCTTTTAATTACGGCTTTACAGCGATAAAAGAAAAAGGCTAATTACTGCTAAACCTGCAGCGATCATGCAATCTGCTTTTATACTTCAACATCTTTGCTTTGAGGATGCCACATTCACTAAACAGGGCTTTTAGAATCAGCAGACTTTCGCCCACCAAAGCACACGTGGGCTTTTATACAACTGAAACTCCAACAACACAATCTGTTGAGCTATTAATTGGTTCCTTTGAGCATATCCTTACACACTTGTTCTAATAGGAAGGGAAGCGACCCACATGGCAGGAGTAGTGAGGATGCCCACACAGATCAGACAAGTTTTAATTGTACCTCTGTCACTTTCTGTGTTCATTTGGGCCAGAGGGAACTTGTCACCTGAAAGAGGTTGGTCTTTTAGCTCGTGGGAAATAATCTTCCTTCTTTACCAAGTTTCAGAGAGGATGATTTATTTATTGATTTAATGCAAGGCTTTTTGAATTCTTTTCAAAATACTAAACTTGTTTAGCTATGGATGATTATGATTTAACACCTTTGAAATAAAAATAACTGGGATTTTCCGCATCTTTTCGGAACTGTATGATCTTTCAATAAAATAGTTCAAATCATATTTCAGATACTTTAGCTTGATTTATTGGATGTGACAGCAGACTGATAGCCTGTAATTAAAGCATCACACAGTCATTTCAGTTCACATTGGTATTCAGCACTGGCTGCTTGTTACTACAAGAGTTCATCCAAATAGTGAAGCATATGATGGACAGTTTAGGGCAGATTTTGATCAAAGTATGAAGCCCATCTAAAACCCAGTTTTAAAAAAGTTGGGATGCTGCGCAGACTAATAATATCAACGGAACTGAATTATTTGCAAATCCTATGAGTCTGAATTTCATTCATGAAGAATCTCAGACAACACAAGTACTATTTTATGAAAAATGTTAGCTTAACTTGGAGTTAAAAGCAGCCACACTCACAACAGTGACAATAAAAGGTTGGAAAATTAAATGTTATAAAGAGACACATAGCACATCAGTGCTAAAAACATACATATTTAGAGCACTTATACAGCCAACTCAGGTGAGTTCTCTCTCAGGAAAACCATTCACTGTCACAGCAGCATGACTTCAGAGCAGGAAAGTGATGGACTGACCTACAGGCAGTCCCATCCTCACACCAACAAAAACAGTTGGTGCTTTAAGAAATGTAAAATACAGAAAAGCACAAGACTGTTGAACTGAATCTTAAATTAGAGAAGAATGGAACCACACATCTCTCCCGAAATCTATAAGCAGGTCTTTCCAGATGTTACATGTTTCACAGATTGTTATTGAAGGACACGTGAGCAGGATTTTTATTTGCCATCTATCCCAAAAAGGAGCAAAGATTTTTCATGAAATAGTGAAACTGACATTTTTCCATGTTTTAGTATTTCTTATTGGCAAATAGTTGCATTGTGGCTTGTTTATCTGGTTGTTTTCCTGCTGTTTTTCCTTCTTGGTTTGACTCCACAGGCTCTGAACAAGTGTGGAGACTAATAAGCCCATTCCTGTGTGTTTACATCCACATGTGTAGTTTAGCATTTATCTGTATTTACTTACAGGCTTCCACCCGCACAGGGTACAAATCCCTTTCAAGCTTTCAACTTCTCCAAATCTCTAACAGATGTAAAACAGCAGCACTTGATACCATTGTTAGCTGTGCCTGTAACACATAACGACATATGTGTATTCGTGCGTCTGTACAGTTCTTCACAGGCAAAAATCTGCCTCTTTAATGGTTAGTCCACAGTGTTTATCAGTGGGTGGGGAAATCCACCTCATCTTTACCAAAGGAACAACATTTCTGTTGTGCTCTCTGCATGCAGTCACTTCGCTGACTTGTTGCCAAATCTAATTTTGATTTTATCCTCCATCTTGTCTGTGTTTTTAATGCTTGGAACACCTTTTTCCAGTTGTGTTTTGCTTCTCAGGTAACATTGAAAATGAGCTGATTGTGTTTCCACAGAATGCAAATCGTTAGACTATGTTTTGATTCAAGTGATAATAGAAGAGACTAAACACCTGTAGTTATCAAATCCCATTCATCCCCAATTCCTCTGTTCTGGTTGACTTGGGAATCAGTATCCCTTGCTCCCAATACACACTCGGGTCTGATATATTATGCCAAGTTGCATCGTGAACAAAAATGCAAGAGCCAGATGGGTTCAGCTCTCTCTTGTGTGCGCTAGGGTATGTTTGAGAAAAAATTAATAGCCTTTCTCACGCTGCAGCTCTTACTGCCCCCCCAAGGAGACCATCGCATTACCGAAGAAAGTTGGACAATTCATGTCGTCATTGAAGAGGTAAACAAACATCGATGAAAACATGAATCTAATTAAAAAATTAACTTCTAAATTAACTAATCATTTATAGTAATCTTGAACAAATCAATCAAGTCGACAGCTGGCGTCTATACCTTAAATTTGTTTTTAAATGATAAATTGGGCTCCGGCCTCCGTAGGACGATCATTCATCTCATACAGTTGCGCACGACTTAGTGACATCAATGGGGGTCGAGGGATCCTGAAAAATTACTCCAGCGTTTGCGTGACGACAGTGGCTGAGAAGTATAAATGCAAAGCCGAGAAGCTCTCTTCTTATACCTCTGCACTTGGCCTTAAGGGTCACCAACCGCTTCGAGAAGCTCAGAGCAACCACTGTCAGAAACGGTTGCACCACGGACCGGGGACCAGGAGAGTTTGGATATTCCTCATGTGAGTAAGGCGCATTACAGAAACTTTTATATCACAATATGTCATCTGAGTTGGAGCTTCTCTTGTACACAATTGCTATTCGTTTTATTGTTTAAACAGTACTCTTAGTATTAGTATTCTTCAACGTAGTTTTAATAACTGCTATAATCTCAGTTGTTTTGGGATTTATATCCATCTTAATAACAATGTACAATCTCAAATTATTTGTTATTTGGATTAGATCATTTATGTTTCACGCTTTTTTAAACCAGACTTCTAGTCTAAATATTGAACTTAAAATAAGTCCCATGACATAAATCACGTTACTCATGTATTAATCTTGTGATGCAGACGAACAAACTAGATTACCATGAAGTCCGCAAGCCTAATTATCCTGGCATCTCTCGTGATCTGCAAATCAACGCTATCAGAAGAACAGGGCATCTCAGCCGAGGATGGGACGGACCGAAGGACCACCATAGACGACATCATACTACATAAAGCAGAAAGTCTCCTGTTGCGATCCATCATCAAAAAGCTGCAAGAAGAAGACGACAGATATGGTGCGTAAAAAGAAACGATTTGCATGGATTTTAGGCAAAGAAATACACAATTTCTCCTCTTTCTGAAGCAAGGGCTGATACTTCATTTTACAATTTTCACATTTTTTTAATCATTATTATGATTATTACTTTTTATGTGGTCAGTAAATATATATTTCCCACTGCCAAGGTGTTGATGTATTTCTGTGTTTTGATTGGAATCAGGCAACACTTTCTGAGAACTGCATGGCTTTTACGCAGAGGTTTTACGCACTCTTTGAGACATTTTCCCCGTTCGATAATTATGTATCACAGTGAAACAATTGAAGTACCACGAAATCAGGCAGTAGAGTGTAGAATAGCTGTCTGTCAGACCACTGAAATTATCAGACAAATATGGATCACCAAGTACCACTTGATATGAGACCTATAAAATCATCTTTGCAGCAATGCGATTATTAAAGTAGACTCTGTGTTTCCAGAAATTCTAAAGTTTTCCCCGTTTTTTTGTTCTTTATTCAAGATGGAGTCTTCCCTCAGGCAGAATGGGTGACAAAAAGACAGCATCCCGGTAAAAGATACATAAATGATTTGGAGAAGCGGCAGCATCCAGGCCGGAGAGAAGAGGACGAAGATGAAATAGACTTGGACGTGCAAAAGAGACAGCACCCGGGCAAGCGCGAAGAAGAAATGCACGCGTCCATGGGGTTCCAGAAAAGGCAGCATCCGGGAAAGCGCTCAATGGCTGGACACGTTTCTGAAAGCCCCATCATTCTGTTCAGTGAACTTTCCAAACGGCAGCACCCAGGCAAGCGTTACCTGGTGCTGCACAGCAAGCGCCAACACCCAGGTAAGCGCCTCACCGAGGAGGAGGACGGCGAAGAGGACTGGGGCATGGATGAAGAAGACGAGCTCCCCGAACTGGAGAAGCGTCAACACCCGGGAAAACGCTTTTGGGAGAACTCGAATCCGGAATTGGGCACAAACAGTCCGTGTGATCTTTTTGACTCTGAGAGCTGCCGTAAAACCAGTTTGCTGCTCGACTTTTTAGACAACATTACCAAGAGCCACGATGAAGAGAAGCGACAGCACCCGGGGAAAAGGTCTGCAGCAGAGGAGGATTTGGTGGAGGGAGAGTAGGGCGAACTAATCTAGTCTGCGCATATTGCTTTAGTGTAAAGAAATCAATGTATAAATTAAGTGATCATAATGTAAAAGTCTTCTGATCATTTAAGCTTTTGAGCTATTTTTCTTCGATAGATAGTTACTGTATTATTAAAGCAAAGTATTTATCTGATATATTTTGGACGAGTGTGCGTATAATTTTCCTCCAAACTTTACATTTTTGCTGTACATATACGGTTTTCAGAACAGTTTGTGACCCTAAGACTATCTATTGTTTATCGTTATAGAACCATAGGAGGCTCTTTGGTTCATAATTCTACTTCTGCTTACAGTGTTGGGATGAAAGCATCAGACTGCTGGCTTCTGCGCCGTCGCCTCTGTGAGGCGGCGCGCGCGAGGCTGGACGCCTGAGTCACGAGACTGACCATGGCTGCGTTCACAGCAAGGGAATCCCTTCACTAATTGATTTGTGTTATATTATTTTCTACTTGTGTAAATATAAAGGATTCCGCAGCAAACCACGTGTGTCATTGATTTTACCCCACTCCGATTACGTCATAGATTATGTTGATTAATGACAGTGTTAGAGACTGCAGTTGCCAGCCAACTTCAGACACACATATGCCGCTTTCTTGGGATCATTCCACCAGAGTTGCTGGCTGACCAGCATGCAAAGTAAGCATAAAGCATCACAGATGGAAACCTAATGTCGATTATTTTTAATCAAATTGCAAGTTCATTATAAAAAAGCCACTGCAGTAAACGAGCTGTCACGCGGATAAAATAACGAATCAAAAGTATTTAGTGTGAAAAATTCATTAAAGCTTTAGCAAGCACAGTTAGTTGAAGTGTTCACTAACAATTTAAAAGTCCCTGCGTAGCAGGGAAAGGGGGAGAAAATGCCTGCCAAAACATCATCTCTTCTAAATGTATTTGTTTTATCTGCAACATCTTTTAAAATATAGACATACTTTTCAATAGATAGTGTTTAACCTTTGGAATAAATGCCTATTGATCTAATCAAATTGCAAATTTCTCAGATCATCTAGAGGCAAAATATTAACCTGTGTTTAAAAACCAGCAGTCAAGCAAATTTGCCTGCAGTTTTTACAGACTTATGTCCTCACAGCTGGATACTGGACTGCAAAATGGCACCAAAACAGAGCTGTCACTTATATATCCTAAAACTCTCACAATAAGTTAATTCAAGATTCGGTTGTTTTTTTGTAAACGGTATCCACAATTTAGAGTATAACAAAATGGGAAGGTCTTATGGCCACAAGACAGATATATTAGAATGATGTGACTTGAGTAATGTACTCATACAGAAAAAACTGCGATGCAAATGCCAAGGTTTAATTTCATGGTTTGCCACCACGCTATAAGGAATTAGCAGGGGTTAACTGGAATTAAAAGCCAAATGTCAACCATTAGCAAAACCCAAAGGAAAATATTCACTACTGGCAATAAACAAAAAACAGCCCATGGACTGTAGATTGTTGGATAAATGACATGCAAGGATGAATCACAAACCTGAATTTGGGCAAAGGACTTTCAAATTCAGTGAAGTGGAACAGTCAAAGTTTTGATGACCAAATATACTTCCACAGTCATGGCTGAAAATCAGGAGGACAAGAGGACATAATTATCATAATGCTTCACACACTCTTTCTTCGCAGTTTCCAACTATTTATCCAAACTTCTTTTTTTTTAGATATGTTGTCAGCATCAAATTCAAGACTACTCGTTTTGCCCCTGGGGCTGTGAAGGGTCAGGAGCCAATCACAGCTGCCTTCAGGTGATGCCACCTTCAAGATGAATCAATATTTCTGTTCTCAAAAAAACTTTGGGCAGATCTTAAAATATGAATGAGGCTGAAAGATTATGTGAAGTAAAAGATACATCCTTTTCAATTTGTTTCGCCAGAAACAAAAGACAATTACTGTTTTCTTATTAGAGTCAATGGGAACAAACTTGGAGATAATCATTTTCTTTTTCCATAAAACTTTGCAGAACGAAGACATTTGACAATTTTTGTCAAATAGGTTGAAAGAATGGATGGATTCTCATGGAATGAAATAGTCTCAATGCGAAGACATTTAATTTTCATCTCTGATCTTTTGGTTAGAGAGATGACTTGCTTAGTGTGGGCCCAGGCATAGCACAATGGGAGGTGAAAAAGGCTCTAGCCACCTCATGACCCAGCGCTGAAATAGACAAGTTGAAAAAATAGGTGGACAGATCCTTGATTAGAAATGTGTCAATGGAACACCATCATGACTTGTCATCGGTGGCTTTTTTTACAACCAAAAAAAGGGATTTACTTTAACATCCATGGCTTAAAGACATAGTGAACATGGGACTTTTATGAACTATAGAAATTGTTTAATTGAAATTAAAAGCATTTGAATGAGCACACATTTAGACAGCCTAAGATTGATGGATTATTATCAGAATCTTCATGTTTTATGAGGTTCATGATCTCCTGGAATTGTCTTCTTTAGAATACAACCATGATTTTCAATCACAACTGCATAACATGTATAAGAATAAAGCAAACTGAGAATGGACTAACTGAAATGAGACGCAAGTGGCTAATCTGGTAAAAACAGGAAAAACATGAAAAACATCTATCTGTCAATAAATCAGACGATCAATAAATTAATAAATAAAAAAATAGGTAGAAATGAGACATTTTAATAAATAAACTTCATAAAACATATTTTCCAAAGGAAAACTTTAAACATCTTGATACCATCCTGAAATCCTATTAGTATTGCCTAAATGATCTTGTTAGACAGTACTTTTTCAATTATTAGAGAAGCTGCATTTTCCTATTGTGTTTTTCCTACTTTAGACTAAATCTTATATCAACATTTTGAAAAAGATATGCAAAAAAGAGTTGACCGATCATATCTATATGAAAATGTGTTAGGAACATTATGAAATCCAACATCTATTCCCATCAATTAATAACAACTCATTCAGTGGTTGTGATTCTTTTACACAAGTCATGAAATGGTAATTCATCTGAGAAATGGAGCGCCTCTTTGTTACCTGTGGTTTGTCCCTCCTCGCTTGTCTTAGCAGCGACACGCTGATCACATGACCAGGCAGGGCCACTGCCGCCGCTGCTGCAGCTGATGTTGTCGAGCTGTCAAGGAAAACACTAACTGTTAACAACACAGTTATTGTCGGATACATTCGTGTCTTCTAACGGTCGACCGTGTGGATTGGTGGGTATGTTTGTGGTTCTCTGAACTTGGAAGTTATTTTACGCCGTGGAGTTAGCTTCCGAAACAGTATAAGAAATGGCTAAGGATACCAAGACCTGCTGCTAGCATTTTGCAGCTAACGTTTTTTTGTCCGGGCGATTAAAGTTGAATGCAGTTTGAAATGAAAACAAAACGGCTTCTGCACATTAAGATGAACGTACAGCCATAAAACCCAATTCGAGAGAGGTTAAACCTCTATTCGTTCTTCAGCAGCCCTGTAAGTAAGAGGAAATATATATATTCACATATCACGAGCCTCTTTTGACCTTTTGTGTGCTTCGACCATTATTATGACGCCGTTTATTGTCCGTTTCGCTCCATTTCATAATGGAGTCTACATGTCTCACAATCAGACTGAGCTGGTTTTCGGAACCCGACCTAGACACACCCTTAAATTTATGTTGGGCGAGATGTCACTTGTTCTAATTTAGATTTAAATACATGATGGATGCTTAACATTACCTCGTTCCTTATGTTCATTTCCTGACATGTTCCCAGGTGTTATTGAGGTCAACGGGTGGCAAACCCCGTGACATGTGGGTCGAAGCACGATCATGCCACCTTGCACCTCCTCATAAACTACAGATCCTCCTGCTGTCATCATGGCTTCCAGCTACCCGCCCCCCTTTGAGGGCACAGGCGAAGTGAAGGAGGGCTTTCTCTGCCCGCTGTGTCTGAAGGACCTTCAGTCTTTCTACCAACTTCAGGGACACTATGAAGAGGAGCACTCAGGAGATGACCGGCATGTTCGAGGACAGCTGAAGAGTAGGTGGTTTGTTAGAATGTCAAACTCTGGAAAGAAAACAACATGCAATCTTTTACTAAGAAAAAGTAGAGGAAACTATTGCAACTATTTTGATGGCTCCTGCTAAGTAATCATAAAAAGTACCAGAGCTGTTATCAGACAAACATTTGTCCTACGAAATTAGAAGTGTTTGAGTGAAATGAGAGTGGGAAATGGGCCTGCAATGTTGGTGTGGAACAGGTTATGTGCGATAGATGTGCATAATGGAAAAGTGATAATGTGATAAGGCTCATGGTTGATGCATTTATAGATTGGCCTACTTTCAGATGTCAGATTAGCTGTGAATATGATGTTCGTGGTCCTGTTGTCAGGGAACAATATAAAAAAAACAGGGTACCCCCACACTTTTTCATCGATGACAAGGAGTTCCTTGTTTGTGTTGTTTTTCATTCAGGTTTGGTTCAGAAAGCAAAGAAAGCCAAAGACAAACTGCTGAAGCGGGATGGAGACGACAGGCCTGAAACCGGCAGTTATGAGTCCTTCTACTATGGTGGAGTGGACCCGTATATGTGGGAGCCTCAGGAACTGGGTAAGAAAGGACTAAAAAAAAATTCTGTCATTCACTTTGCATTTTGAAAATAAAAAAATTAAAATTTGCAGTTGCAGTATAGATCATTAAGCCCGGAGCACATACGTTGTTGTTTTTTTAAGTTGAACAAATATTTCCCTTCTATCTCACAGGAGCAACTAAAAGTCATCTAGACCTCTTTAAGAAACACCGGGCAGCTCGGATAGATCATTACGTCATTGAAGTCAATAAGCTCATCATCAGACTGGAAAAGGTGTGGTTACAGATGCAGTTCATTCAAAGAACATTTCACCCTCTAGTTTCTGCAGCTGAAGCTGAACCAGGCTATGTAGGGATGAATATTAACCACTGACACCTAATGTTTCAGTTGACAGCGTTCGACAGAACCAACTCAGACTCGGCAAAAATCAGAGGTTGGTTTATGTCTTCTTTTTCTCTCTCACTCTGACCACAGTGCAGTTGATTGGTTTAATGGACAAATCGTGTGGTTTCTCATTATTCTCAGCTATTGAGAAATCTGTCGTCTCGTGGGTGAATGACTCCGATGTTCCGTTCTGTCCTGACTGTGGAAACAAGTTCAACATCCGCAACAGGCGGCATCACTGCCGCCTCTGTGGGTCCATCATGTGCAGGAGGTGCATGGAGTTTGTCCCCCTTCCTTTGGCGCGTATGTACATGATAAAACATGAAGTTACCACAAGTCCGGTTTTGCCATATTTGTCTCAGTGTGTGTGTTTTTTTCCCCCTCCCTTGAACAGAGAAGCTCATTAATGGAACTCGCGAGGCCCTGTGTGTGCCCGGGAGCCCCGGTCAGTCCCAGTCCGCCCCAGCTGGAGCTGCAGGCAGCGGGATGGGCTCCAGGAGAGGCAGCATCAGCAGCTTGAGCAGTGTAACCTCAATGCTGGAGGAAAAAGATGACGAGAGGATCCGCTGCTGCCACCACTGTATGGACACGCTGCTGAAGAGACAGCAGAAGCTAGAGGAGAAGGACCACGTGCCAGATATAGTCAAGCTTTACGAGGTTTGCTTAACAATCTCACTGTTAAAAGTCTGGTCGCGATCCTGTTTTCCCTTTTAGCTGTGGAGTTTACTCTATTGTGTCCTTCCTGTCATTCACGTCTTTATTCTGGGGGTTCCTGTTGTTTTCAAAATCTGTCTTCCTGTTAGAGGCTGAGGATGTGCATGGAGAAGGTGGATGAAAAGGCTCCAGAGTACATACGAATGGCTGAGTCTCTCAAGTACTTTAAGAGAAAATTACTCAAAAACGTATACATCTCATTCAGATTATTTTCCATGTCTGAGACACGTTTCTACTTTGTGCATTTATAGTGCCGGCGAAACCACTTATAATCTCGACACTGCTGGTGGATTGAGGCTGGAAGTTCAGAAATACTACGAACTAATCGATGCTTTGAGGTACATGCCAGTCCGAGCTTTCATGAGGAAGCACAAGAGTTTGCGTTTAGGGATCAGTCTGAGTCTGGTCTTCCTTTTTCTTCTCAGTAAAAGGATTTTAACTCTGGGAGTGAAAAATGACCCACCCCCACACCCAAAGGTGCTGCAGCTACAGAGGATGATCCGCTACACAGCCACACTATTTGTCCAGGTGAGCTGAAGTAAAGACTGTTCTCCTGTGTCATGTCCTTTAATTCCCGCCAGATTGACTGTTGGGACTTTTACTATCACTGTGTACTATTGATCCTAATATATTTATCCTGATGATAGATATATTTTGTAGCTCTTTATTTCACCACACACTCAGTTTTGCATTAATCTGACTGAACACAGTGTGAAACTACACTAAATGCAGTCTTATACTGCGTGTTTGTTGGAATTTCAGCCCGTCCTGAAGCCATACTTTGAATAGCGACAGCTGTCTTGTACTCTCACTGTTTCAGGAGAAGCTGTTGGGCCTGATGTCTTTACCCACGAGGCAGAAATATGAAGAGATGAAAGACAAGAGGAAACAGGAGCAAGAGCGGAGACTCCAGCAAGAGAGACAGGTGACTTAGTCTAACTACACCCCTGATTCATTTTCACCACAACAAATGAATAAAGCTAAATCATTGTCTGTTTGTTTGTTCTCCCGCTCAACAGGCAGCTCAGGAGTCTGTTAACCGTAGGCAGGAGTCTGAGAAGAACCGTCCGCCTGCCAATGGCGAGCTGCCCCAGGCCCCCAGAGCGCCCCGCATGACCAAAGCAGGCGGGTGGCTGCCCTCTGCCGACTCCGTCCACGCCCGCAGCGAGCTGGAGGACCCCCTGCTGCAGCAGATCGAGAACATCCAGTCATTCCTGCGTCAGGCCCGCGAGGCTCAAAGAAAAGACGAGGTGGCCATGCTGGAGGAGAACTTGCGTCAGCTGCAGGACGAGTACGACCAGCAGCAAACCAGGCTCGCCATCGCTCTCTCTCAGAAGCTGGCCAAGGAGGAGAGCTTGCAGCAGGGCGAGTTCCAGCGCCTGGAAGCCCAGGAAAGAAAGGATAGAGAGCAATGGGGTTCCACTGTAAGCTCCTCCCAGCCTTCCCTCACGTGGGCTCCAACCTTTGATATCAGCCCATCAGGAGGCTGCCAGGAGGAGGAGGACACGGCGGCCGGAGCCCTGACTCCCAAAGCTGAGAGCAGCCCGTCAGCTCTGAGAGCTTTCCCTGTTCTCGCTGCGCAGGAGGAGTCGCCCCCCAGGCTGAGGAGCCTGGGGGGTCACATCACCCCCCCTGGTGGTGAAAGCGAAGCGCAGAGCAGCTCCTCTCTCAACCCTTTTGAAGAGGAAGCCACTCCCATAGAGGAATCCAATCCCTTCTTTGAGGACATCAAGAGGGAGCACAAGGAAGAAAGCAATGGGAAGAAAGAATATAACCCCTTTGATGAAGATGAAGAAGAAGTGGGCGAGGAGAACACACGGGCCGAGGCCGAACCCGGAAACCCCTTCCAGGAGGACGACACTGACGCGGGTAACCCCTTCATGGAGGCCTCCGGGAACTCGCCCGAGGTCTCCAACAACCCCTTCGACGGGGATGACGATGAGGAGGTTTTGCGGGACGTGGACATGATAGAGGAGGAGCTGCTGCTCCAGCAGATCAACAACATCAGGGCCTACATTTTTGACGCAAAGCACAGCGGGCGCTTGGACGAGGTGGAGCTCCTGTCCGAGAACCTCAGAGAGCTGCAGCACACGCTGCAGGAACAGAAGAAAAAGAAGCATTGATGCGTCTCATCACCAACTGCTTAGCCCTGCAAGGCCCGCTCACTTCACCAGACTCATGAGCCCAACCAGGGGAGTTTGGGCGAGGTCTGCTGCACCCCCGGCTGAATGTGCGCCGGAGCGCAGTACTTTCTACTAAAGCTCAGAAACGTACAGATTTCTAAACCACCCACCCTGCAAAGGGTTGCCTTGGTCTGGAGTTCATCCCAGCATGCACAATTTTTTAGCACTGATAGTTAATACTAATGACATACAGGCATGTTGATTCACACAGTTTTGCTGTAACAGTGCACACATTAAAAAACGGAAGACAGGAGAATGTAATTTTACCGAGATAGGTCTTTGATTTGGAACTGAATGGATGCTTTTGCAGTCCAGTGGGTCCTGGGGACAAAAGGCCACCGTGGCTGTTTTTCTCCATCTTCCAAAAAACTAAACGACAGCTCTAAACTAAAGCTTAAAATGACCCATTGTGCAATTCAGTTATTGATTCCACTGGCAGACGATGCTGTTTAAAATCTGACCCATGGATATTTGTATTGTTTGTGCTTTTCTCTTTAAACAGCGCTGAGAACCAAACTCAGTCCAAAATCCAGTCTGAATAACTCTACAGAGGGCTGAACCTCTCAGTCTACTGTTTGAAGGCTGGTTAAAGAAATTGTCAAATATTAATATCTTTATCACCGTTTTTGTTTCATGTGACTGGTGCCAATGCTTCTTGATTTTCAATTGTCTATGAAAGTACCACATCTATGAAATGGAAGCTTTAATTTCTATTGTAAAATCTGTCTCTGTCGGGTGACATCATCCCTCTAAAAGGTTTAGTCTTGTGAAGTGGGATTTGTACCACTAATGGCTTCTGCTGCAGTTCATCTTTGTCACGGGTTTGAAAGAAGTCGGGATTCCACAAAAAAGCCAAGTAAACAGAAATATTCTCCACGTCCAGCTGTCCACCCGTACTTGTTTGGGTCTCATAGTTTACAGTGGCACCTGAGCTGCATGTGTCTGCCTGATGCTGAGAGATTGGCTACACTTGTCTTCCTACATTTCTTTTTTTAATTCTACAAGTAAGTGTGTAGTTGTTGAATGAAATCCCTTTGGCTCTGTGCTGTCAGTCAAGATCTGTTTGTGATGCCTGTTTGCTAGTTTAAGGATTCCATTTAAGCATCAGCTCACTCAGGACTCTCCATGTCAGTACTTAACACTATTTGCTAACAACTGAAATGAAGAGTAAGACGAGTAAAGCAGCATACACTTGCGGTGTGTACAGAAATGATCTGCATTTGGTTAGTCAGACATAAGGCATACTGACACTACATTAATGCCAGCCAGTATTATTCGCAGTGCTGCTAAGGCTGCCCTAACCTGAGTTTGCTAACGAGCTTTCTGTCCAAATTCCTGTTCTAACACAGAGACTGTGTTTTGTGTTTGTCCGATCTCTGTCAGTAAAGTTTTTTGTTTTTTTCGGGCTAAACAAGTGACTAAAACTAAATGTTTTGTGACATTGTGTGAATTACTCAAGGAGCTTCTCTACAACCATTAACATCTCTGACATCAGAGGAACTGTAAAATGAGTACATCTGCCACACATCCATCAGTTTATTAACTTGTGAGAGATTCTGTCTCAGCACTAAATAAAGAAAAATCATCAAAAAACATAAGAGCGCAGATATGTCTTTATGTGGAATATTACATAACTGCACAGGTCTGGCTCACGCTGCCAAAAGGGCTCTGATCCCGCCCGGGGAGGAACGCTGGACATCTGTTTGTCTCTTTCTAGCATCAAAACTGTGGCAGCTCTTTTAGTAAATGTGGCTCGGGATTTGACCTACAGTTTGGAGGATAAAACATACACTGAGGTATTTCCTTTCAGTTTCTTTCTCAGTGAAACTGGGAAAATGGCTCTGTGGCTGAGGACGCGACCACCAGTGGGACCCGTTAGCCTGGACTCTGCTGAGTCACTGAGTAAACACTTACAATTGGTCAGGAATAATGGCTCTCCTAATCCTTCAAAATGTTTTGGTATTGGCTGTTTGTTATTTTTTAACTCTCACTTGGTATAGTTTGACAGACAAAACGTCAATGTACATTTGCCCAAACAAGCAGAGTCCAAAGATACACTGCATTATAAAGAACTAGGAAGTGAGCAATGGTGCCCAGAGCCACACAGCTTTTTATTTAAATATTAACAGTATTTAGCTCTGGGGGACCACTGACTGCAGCAGGGAGTCTGGAAGTGTAGATATGAACATAACCCAGTCCTGTGTTGGTACATCCATGCTGGAGCAGAGTGCCAGTCCTTTCATAGAGGCATAAAAAAAAGTTTTACCCAAATGCTAGAATATTGTCCAGGGTAAACTTAAAAAAATAAATAAAAAAGTGCTTTGCTTCTCAGCCTCTCAGTCTTGTGACTCGGCCATGCGGGCCCGGTATTTGCCGGTCATCTCCTTAGGCAGCGGCGTGGTGCCGGGACACGGCACCTGGCCCTCCACCTCACAGATGCACTCCCTCAGACAGTACTTCTTCGGTCCAAAGTTGGCAGGGTTGGAGGCCTGCATCTTGGCCTGAGCCTCAGCTTGTAAAACTTCTCTGTTAGGAGAGACAAATCCCTCCATGAACAGAATTGGGCTTTACCCCACCCACACACACACAAGGCAAGAAGCAAAGCCAAGTCACAAAGGCCACAATTCTGAAGGGCAAACGTATGGTGTTGGGCATGTCAGCTCACATTCACACATCTATAACATTTAAATAAAACTGTATAGAAAATCTTTTCAGATATCATTTCTAGGGAAAGCTCGTCAGTCTGCAACAGCATCTCCTTGAGTTCTCACAAAGAACGGAAAAGTAAATAAGGACTAAAGCACTGCTCGCTCTACAACGGGTTCAAGAGTTGATCTGCTGTTTTTATAGAGCTCAAGACATTTGGAACATGTTTGCCTTCTGTTTCCAGAGGTGATATTTTTACGCATTTGCATTACCCTTATCTTTGATTTGCTCTGTTCATCTTATTGATGCCTTATTACTGTAACATAAACAGCACGTGAAGTCAAAGGCTCATAAAAAGGAACAATTCCTGGAGGCACTCAATGCAGTGACTGGAAACATGAAGTGGACACTTACTCTGATTTGCCCAGGATTTTCTTAACGCGTTCTGCAATGTTTTTGTGGTCCTTCCCCTCCACGTCCACCAGCACCTGCTCCCCGTCATCTGGACAGGAGGGCAGAGGTCAGCACAATGCTGGCACGGCTAGGTTGCATTTAAGAAAATTTAAAATTTCCTTTTAAAAAAAAGCGAAGGTTACGAACCCAGGTAGAACTTCAAGAACGGGGACGGTGTCATGTTTTTAAACATCATAATTTGGACCCAAGGGTTTTTGTACTGAATTTGTGGAATATTGAAGAACACAAACTTCCTGCAAAATACATTGAGGATTTTAAATAATTCGAACCACAACAGGACAAACTCGTAAGGTTAAAATTGTGCAAATTTCCTTTAAATACCCATAGATATATAAATATACAGTGTTTTTACAAAGTACTGTATTAACAATTTAAAAATAATTTGGATATGTTTGTAAACGCTGCTGTTAGCCATTAGCTCTGACCTTGCTCCGTCGCTGAGTTCTCCGCTTGTGTTGTAATTCACCGTCATTATCTTTACTCTGTTTTTGAAGATAATGTCTCCCTTCGTGAGATACTCAATGGTCCTCCTGATGGGAAACCTTCCTTTCATAGGCATTTTGACCGTTCTATTTGACTTAATTCACCAAATACCATCTAATATTCGCAAATTTCCCTCAAGACACACTAGTACATGCCAGCGGGCGCGATTTGATGACGTTGTAGAGTAATGCAGCTACAGGCAGACAGGGGGCGCTGGTGATTGTTCGGGGGAGCTCCTGAAGCACACACGAGATTGTGGAGTTTCTTTTAGTAATTTTTATCCCAAATGTGATCCATCATAAATGACATCAATTATTATTACCTGTTTAGGATTTTCAGTTTTCAAATTGTTATAACTTTTACTGTCAGAGCTGTTTTGTTTTTTTATTAACACTTTTAAACATGGACAAAATTAGAACAATAATCTAAAAGATTGTGGTCAATAATTTTTTTTAAACCATTGAAGACGTCCTTCTCATGCAAAATCATTCTTCTAGTGATGAAAGTAGAACTTTATAGTTGATATTTGGTCATCAATAAGTGAACATTATCCATTCTGAACATGAATGTTTTTTATTGAGTAATATTTCTAATATAGGAGTAGTTGGATTTTTTTTTAACACAGGTATTTCAATCAACTAAAAAAGTAGTGTCTTCTTAGTTGAGCTACAGAAATGTTAAGAAATTCAGGCATACTAAAATCAATAAGTACTTTAATAAAACATTCAACACTCTAACGGACAAAAAACTTTTAATATTTCATGAATATTTCTTTATTTTGTTTAAAACATGTGGCTTCAGAGAAGCAGGCCTTAGAGAGTGGAATGCTGATACATGAGCTCAGTCATCAATACATCTGATTTATATCTGTGAGGTAGAAATGTAGGCTTTTGACTAAGTGACCAACGTAAGCAACAGATGAATATGGTCAGAATTTGTCAATCCAAATCTTTAAAGACAAACATCTCAGAAAAATGAGGGCATTAACACAGTATAAAATTTTAACAGTGGCATACTCAAACCACGTAAGAAACACATAATATCCTGACCTACTCATGGTAAATATTTAAAGCCACATTTAAATCAACACTTTTCATATTGCATTTAATAAAATGTGCTTAAGCAAAATCGTCATGCATTGCAATGCACTATAAAAATGATAACAAGGCTCCTATTTAGGACAGACACAGACAAGATTATAAAACCCTGCTTAAAAACAACGTGCACTCATTTTAATGATATCACATGTACAAATGCAATTTCATATCAGTGCCTTTACAAACAGTCTGTTCAGGTTTTAAACCAAATTACAACTGACAATTATTTCACAAGACATATTCCATGTTAATTTATTTATATTTTTTTAAATCATTCATGTTGCTGTGGATGTTTATTCTGAGCAGAGGATAAGTCGATGCATATCTCCATACTGTCTTCAAGACATCAATGCACTCAATATGACCTTGTCTTTTCTTTTTACAGGGAAACCTGCCCAAACGTACTTTAAGTACACTTAGTATGTAACAAGGAAATGCATTCACAACAAACAAAAATACAAAGAATAAAAAAAAACACAACACAAGGTTTTAGTCAGCTTGAATACTGTGGAACACTACCAAACTGACTAATGTGCACCCAACGCATATGCAAACAAAAACCAGTAGCATAGCTACATGTAGGCAAGAATTCTGAACCCAAACCTTCAAAATAGTCCTCTTCTCTGAATGAAACAGTCGTTGTGGGTAAACACAGAAAAGGCAGGCGGGCATACAGATGGAGAGCAGAGCAACTGTCACTGAGAGCGATTGTCACTGAGGGAAAGGTTATGAGGTGATTGCACAGATTATACAAGTCATATTTTCACTGTGTCCTGGGCCGAGGGGTACCAAATAAAAACAAGAACAGTAAAAAAAGTTCATTTGACCTTTAAAATCAACACCCAAGGTGTACCCCAACTAGCTCGGTGGCACCTCCGACTGAATCAGCCGGTGCAGAAAATAGATGGACATCAGACACAGGTGGCCTTGTAAGAAGGTATGAATGCACATTATGGAAGCTAGTTATATTAGGCAGTATTTTGAATACACTTTACCACTTTTCCAACCACCATTTCGATTAGACTAATTAATGGTGAATGAATTTCAAAGAATCAGAGAGAACACAACCTCTGACTTGACTAAATCTTTCACTTGCAGTTCTTTATAGTCAGAAAAATTATTCTCGACCTAATTTTTTTTTTCACCACTTCCATTTAACAAGTGCCTTTACACTGTGCTGTTATTAGCAAAAGCCTGCAGGTACAAGTCCCTTGCAGATTTAAAGTAAATCTGATTTACTTTGATGTCAGCGGGATACTAAACAGGTGATAAATCTGTATCAAAAGGTAACATTTAGACATGTATGGGATCATGTTGGAGCATGGTATGGCTGAAATAAATACAAAACTATTCAAAAAGCTAGTGAGGTTGAAGTGCTATGAAGACATAAAAAGAACTGACAGCTGCTGAGAATTAATTTTTTAGTTCTCAGCTGCAGAAAACTTTCCAGGTCGTCAAAAGATGCATTATCCTAATCTACTGAGCATTCCCCACTGACCATACACCATTAGAAAAAAAAGTGGCTGCAGCAGCAGTTCAGGCCACAGCTCACCAAAGACAGAGTATCCCTGAAAGGGAAACTCACTGACTTTAAAAAGACAACCGTGGGAGCTGGGACTGTTGTCACTCTGCTGAGTCGGAGTCCTGGCTGTTATACTCAGCCGTCTCCATCTTCAGGATGTAGGGAATGATACTGTCAATGGAGACGTTTCCTATTAAGCCAGTGAAGAAGAGCTCCTCTGTGATGCTGGGGCTCATAAGGCGCAGGGCGGGGAGGCGCGTCAGGATACGCGTCAGCCTGAGGAGACAGCCGCACATTTCAAATGAATCATCACCTCCAGACAAAAAACACCAAGCGAGGTGCTGGCAAGCCACATAGAGAAAAGAATCTAAATAGATTTAGATGTTCTGTGGAACATCTAAATCTATTCCTCCAAAAGCAACGGCTTCACAGACTCTTCACAGACTCTTCACTGTTCGCCCTGCAGCTCTAGGCAGCTTTCAGGAACAAACTGGATGCAGACTTCTCTGAGACTCACACAGCAACCAAAACAATACCACTGCTGCCATCTTATATCTTTACAGAGGAGTTATCCAGAAATGTGTGTTTTTTTTAACAACAGTGGTTTCACATTTCTGCTGTGGGAAAACTCACATAAATATCTACTGTGGGACTTAAATACGTCCTCATTATTGCAGAAAAAAAGACAAGACCTCTGTGGTTGTTGCTCATTCACCTGTATGTCTCATCGGGATATGTTTTCTGAACATAGTCCTGCAGCTCCATCAGAGCTTTTTCCTGGAATTTCTCAATCTGCCCACTGCTGTCCACACCTGGATGATCTGATGAGTTAAACACACAACAGTTGGACTTCAAGAGGCAAATACTGCTCATTTGCCCTTTTCTTGTGACTACTAACAGTTCTGGTGTCCATGTGATGGAGGGTCAGTATCTCACCAGGGCTGAACAGCATGATGGCCTTCAGGTAGGCATATTCGTAGCTGTCGGTCTCGAGCCTTGTCATGCTGTTACAGAACTCCTGAAACTTCCAGATATGCTCCATCACCTGCTTCACCCTCTCCCCAGACTTGTCTGAAAAGAGAAAGTCCACATTTATTTGTCAATATGGATGGCTTTCTGTATTTTGTATGGCCAACACTGTCATGTTTTACAAATATTTCCGAGCATTGGGTTAAACCACGGGAGAGCAGCTAACAACAGCCTCCCTAACAGCTCCAACCAACAAAGCCCGCAGTCTGCTGATTTGAATGTACATTTCTGCACTACTGTTTTTATGTGTGTGTCCTACTGTGAGGTGATGACGAGGTCTTTGGTCCATACCATCCTGGATGCTGCTCTGCAGGTGGTTGATGATGGCGGTGAGGATGGTTGACAGGTTCATCACGTGGGCACACTGAGCGAGGCCCAGAGTGAACAACTCGTTCCAGCAGGCTCGCACCAAACTGGTGTTTGCCTCCTGACTGAGAGACACATGCATGCACGGCATGATGGAAACCAGCAGGAGGTTGGGCTGCAGTGTTTTTTATTGTGTATAATGCTTACTCACCCAAGAGCTGAGAAGGCAGGGATGGATCGCGCCCAGTGCATGGAGAGGAAGAGAAGTCTGGATGCCGACTCACATATGTAGTGTACATTCAGAAATTCGGGCATAGGGCTGGGCATGGTCAGCTTTAGCATTGATATAGGAGACAGAGGAAGTTCATTGGATGAGGAAACTAATTATATTTAAAAAAGATGCAAAATTAAAATTCACTTGTCATGCATTTTCAGTCTGTATCTGTTTTAAAATGGTGCATGTGCATATAATTCAGAGTAGTCTAATCAGTGAGGGCACTTAAGTCCACCTGAACTGCTTTGAAAAAAAGGACCTCACCGACCTTGAAACCGACGTGGCTGTCTGTGAGCAGCGGCCCCTCCACCTCAATGATGGGCGTCTCCTGGTCCCGACCAATCAACTGGATAGTTGTTCCAGTGGCACACTTCCCGGCCACACTTTGTTCAACTGATACTTCTGGCGGGTTGAAGACTTTGGCCAGAGCATCAAAGGCACTGCATAGGATTAATTTGCAACAATTTTTTCAGTAACATATGTGAGATTATATTTCCTTGTTATATTTCTTAAAGCCTTTTGGCTGACCGTGTTATCTCGCTGGCCGACTGTTCCTCATGCTGGCCGTCTGAGGTGTCCCCGTTGCTCAGGTTTTCTTTGAGTGAGTCACTCAGATTGGCCAGTGATGTCACTACATTGGCTAACGTCCCCAAGTCTCCGTGTCCGGTATCGATCTGAATACAAATGAGTCTACGTTGAATGTTTTCCGTCATATGAGTCAGCCGAACAACTAACTGCTAGACATTGGTTGAGAAATTCTATAAGAAGCATGATTACAAGGTGTTGGAAGGGGACGGGGTTTACTATTGTCCCGTCTGACGATCAGGCGTACCTTGGAGTCAGTTGCCAGCAGCAAAGTTCCATCAGTCTGGATGACCGGCTGCTGGATATTAACCAGCATCCCTTGGTCCAGTAGGCTTGATCTGCACACAGAGCATCATCACAAACAAGCTCACAAAGCATACCAGTGACAGCTAAATGAGAGCAGACTGTAGCACTAATTTCCGCTGACCTGGAGCCGTCTGTATCAGTATCAGAGATAAAGGTTGGCGTGGCGATAAGTGGGCTGTTTAGGTCCTTACGGATGTATATTTTCTGGGTGGAGGCAGCACAGTTGGCATGCCTCTCTCTGGGCATAACATCAATGGGCTTCCTTTCACTCTGGACAGCTGAAGATTATAAACAAGAAGATTTTAGTGATGCTCGGTTGAACTTTGCAGGTGATGAGCGGTTGGATAGTCAAATGTTGCATAATTGTTTCTTGATTCTGGACCTTCTAATACTCTACACACGAAATTAATAAACTCTTATTGATACTATTCAAACACTTGATGTGATTCTATGGGCCTGTATTTTTGTATCTGTTCCCAGGTTGGGTGCAGACTTACACTCAGTCTTCATCCCCATCTTAAGGCATTTCCTCAGTCGACAGAACTGGCAGCGGTTGCGGTGGTGCTTGTTGATGACGCAGTCTTGCTTGCTGCGGCAGCTGTAGGTAAGATTCTTCCTCACACTCCTCTTGAAGAAGCCCTTGCATCCCTCACAGCTGACAGCTCCGTAGTGGCGCCCTGAACACAAACAGACACAGAGGGTCTGACTCATGCAGCATAATGAATGTTTACATTCCGTTGGACGGCGCATCAGGATGGATTCCTTAGAGTAAGTGCAGTACCTGAAGCTTTGTCGCCGCACACCACGCAGTACTCCACCGGCTGAGGTCGACTTAAATCTCCTGCCTGTCCAAGCAGCCGTTCCATTGACACTGGATCTGTAACAATCTGAATTGCAATGTCAAACACAGGCCATAAGACGCGTAATTCACTTCAACATGTTGTAGGAATGCGGCGGTAGCACATCCGAACAGCTATAAATAAGCATAACAGGGTGACTTTGTGGGGGAAGTGTACCTGTATCCTTCCCGGCATCAGGTTGTCTGCAGCAGTGAAGATGAGCTGCTTCGTGTTGTGACTCTCTGGTGAGGCCAGGATGACCTTGTTTGCCCCTGAGCCGTCAGCGGTGGCGAGAATGAATTGCTGCTTAGGAGGGTTGGACGGGTTCATCGTGGTGACTATCTGGATCTTCTGACCGGTCTGCTGGTCGGTCACAATCTGAAGGTGGGAGAGTTGAGGGGAAGAGGCAGAAAAAAGGGTAATGTGGGGAGAAAACAGTGTAAAGGATAAAAAGCTGAGTCATAAGAGGATATCTGGGGGTTACCTGTATTCGCTGTGGCGTTGCAGCAGGCTCAGTGGAGATGACCTGAAAGCGCTGTGGAGACTCACTCATTGCAGAGTCTGACGGAGAGGACGACCCCTAATACGATTCAATATAGTGACCTTTGTCAGTACATGTGCCATTAAAATACACTTCAAATGGATATCTGTGAAATATAAAAAATATTCTATTATTTTTCTTATAGCAAGAAGGACCACAAGTATCCTCAAAGGTAAACAGAACTTTGGCAGAGGTTACATGCACATCTGTGGGGCTGAATACACACTGTGGAACTCCTCTGCACACCCACCTCTGCTTCCTGCTCAGAGTCCACTTTCTGCTGAGACAGCAGATTCTGGTTGGTCGTCATGATGATTTGAGGTCATTAGTGAGGTCTGGAAGGATCTGGAAGGACAACGCAGAGCATCACAAAAAATGATGCCCACACACATTCCCGCTCAAACTGGGCTGCTTGTTGAAACGGAATATGACTAATTTCTCATGGGGGCCGAAATTGTTTCTATAAATGATCCTTGATTTCAACAGAAATTGTTGTATCCACATGTAAAAACAACAGCTGAATGCTCCATCTGGACTTTACATAATCAATAAGTATTTCAGGATGGGTTATGTTCAGAAAGCTAACTTTAATGTCTCTTACCCCTCAGCTAGTGCTTGATCATTAATCATTACCATTGTTGAATTGGCAGATTTGTATCAGTTTTAGTTTCTAAATTAGTTTTATGGGCTTTGACTTTAGAGGGGACAAACAGTGAGTAGCAGGTCTGTGGCCTGACTCAGGCTCTCATCTTCAGTAGGTTTTGGAATTTGGAACATTAAACTTCTCATCATCATCATTGGTGCATTTATAAGCCAAGTCAATTTACTCAGCATTTTTTTTAATAACTATAACCACAAAATTGAGAGATTAATGAAGCATTAACTCCCCAATAAACTGTGCTCAAAAATGGACTTTTGTTTATAATTTAATGACTATATCAAATTATATCAAATTATAATCCTAATTGTATCAAATTTATTTGGCTGCATTTAAACATTGTAAAATATATTTTTCACCTTTTTGAAGAACGTACTACAAGATTGTGGAAAAATTTGTGGTGTATGTCGATAGAGAATAGAAATTTGACATCATCAGAAATATGTATGTAATAAATATAGTCATGTTTGAAGTGCACACCAAATGCATAGTGGCATGTTCCTGTTGGAATTTAATTGATTACTGTACTGTTACTGTATTAATTAACTCCAAATTCTCTTCAGGCTGAGAAAGTTGTTATTGTTGTTCACTGATTGGCTTAACAACATGCCCATCAATGAGTATAACGCATCACATCCCAGAACAAAATGGAGACTATGGCAGTTGGCCAACAACACAGCAAACGTTATAACTAGTATATTAAAGCAATTGTCTTTGCAGACAGCAAAGCGGCTGACTGTTTTATTTTAGGAGTAGTTATTAAAAAATACAGCTGTGGTAAATAAAACAGTGACATTTTTGTAACTATCCACTCGTATCCCCAGGATGGCAAAGGTAAAAGGGTCGAGTTCATCCGAAAACGCTGCAGCTGCACAATATTAGCTATTACAGCTAGCCAAACGCAAGGGAACAGGGGCTGTTGAGACGGAGGCGACTGTCTCCGATAGCAGGAGTCATTTCAGTGAGCGGGGATGACAAGAGATTAAGATGACACAGGTGGCAAGTTTTAGTCATCTGTTAAAAGTGCCTGCGGATCATATCGGAGTAGCTAGACTGCATCCAGCCCTCCGTCGTTCACGTCCGGAAGCCGAGCAACCGGAGACGGACAGGAAGGGAGCTCCGCATCGGCTAGCTACCCAGCTAGCCGGGAGATTAGCCTTGCTCTTTAATGATGCACTAACACAGAGAGCTGTCACTCTTTTCCACCCAGCGTTGACACTTACCTCGGGGAGACCGCGGCCACTCATTTAAGGCTCTCTGCTATTTAAAAAAAATAATGTTGTGGTTTTCTTCTGTTAAAGGTCATAGTTCGTGACCCCGCACCGCCAGCACACTGACGGCGATTCTGTTTCCCCCCCCCCCCCTCCCTCCCCCCCGAGCCCCCGCGTGCCTCTAACACCCCCCCACCCCCCACCCTTGGCGAGGGCCAGACAGGAGTGACGTCATTATGTCTGTCCGTCCAGGGACTTCATCGTCAAATTGTGTCAGGCAATTTATGTGGGGGAAAAAAGTTGGATTAAACTTTCACTTCAGCTAAATGTTTTTTATTTAATTCATTAAAGTGTGTTGCTCGGCTATTTTCAGAAATATCAGCACTGGAACAAATATTGGAATTGTTGATGCTTGATTTCTGTGGATACTTTTCTTATAGAAACACATCAATTAGTAGCACTTATTCATTTTTGTAACAATACACAATATTTAATCTTCATCAAGGAATATTCACAGACACATTCATTATCACTATGTAAGGTTTCTGATGTAAATCTAACTGCACCTCTGCAATAATCATACTCATAACTGTTAAATGTTAGACTCCCATTCAATGTGAGAAACACATAACTTGTGCCTAATTAATGGTCCCTCTAAACTTCACCAGTATTAAAACACAGTCTTTGCTTTACAACAAAATATAAAACAGACTGTCTGAGAATTATACAAAACTGAGAATAAGAAAAAACACATATAAAGCAGTTTGACATTAAGAATGTTGTTCAAGGGAATACAAATGAAAGAAAAAGAGCCCAAAATACGTCTGACTGTTTGAAATACTTACATCTGATATGCATCATACTGTTTCGATACATTATCACTTTCACTTAATCCAGGTATTAAGTTGACAGGTAAATCAAACACAAAACTTGTCTTACTATAAAGTACTATTCCATTTGACTGATTATATTATGTACATTTCTTGTGCCTAAATATATAATTTTTAAGCAATCAAGGCAGCACAAATATTAAATTATAAAAAAACTACAAATGTACATTATAAAATGCTTTTGTAGACATGAGTACAAATGGAAATCTGCAGTGTTATGGTAAAAACATACCATCCAAATGATGTACCATGGTGAATTAATTAGTAAAGGTATTCGGATGATCATTTATGAGGCAACACCTGAGAGAAACAGGATTTAAAAAAAAAAAAAAAGGTTTGCATACCAGAGGTTCTCTTTTCAATTTCTTCACAGTTTGGGAACACCCATTTATTTTCTAAACCCCAGGGTTGCTGGAGCCCATCCAGGCTGTCAGAGAGATGAATCTGTCAGGGATTCATGGTAAAATAATGATGGATGGGTCCATTGATAAAACAGAATCTATCCAGCAGGTGGAGCTAACTGCTTACAAGTGAAATGGAAGATTTATTTGGTACCATCCTATTTACCATACAAGGACACATAAGCACCTTCCTTTGTATGTAGTGTTAGTGTTCATGTTAACAATAACAACCTAACAAAAAGGCTTTTTCTGCTTCTTCTTATGAGCATGGAGGCATTAAATAAATAAACAAATACTTTTGAAGAATTCAGGTGGATAGTAGACGTTTTAATTTAGAACTTATGGAGTACTGTGACACACAAGGAAAACGGCCATGAAACAAGGGAGAAGATATAAAAATAGGATATTGTTCCTCTTCTAAATGTCCTGCAACCTTTGCCATCAGTTCCAAAACATTTGACTGTTTTTAAAAGTACAAGTAAAACCTCTGTAGTTTCTGGCACACCTACAAAAGAAGAATAACATTGAACAGACGCCCATTGAGGTTTCAGAGGGCGAATGCAAGTTTTAGCTTCTGGCTTCCACGCTATAATTTACTGGTAGACATATAGCTAGAGAAAATGGACTGTAGATTAGTGTACAAGTGAATTTTCCAACTTGATGTGAAACATAAAATATATCCCTTCATCTGCTGTTTAATTGATAATTAATTGAATAAACAAATCTTGGTAAAGTAACTGTCAAAGCCATGGGAGGTGATGGGCTTCAGTTCCCTTCTCATTAAGCAAGCTGGGAATTAGTCCCATGGAAGCTTTGATATAGAGCTCTCCACTTATCTAGCTGTTTTTCTCGAATTCAGAGAATCTTATTTATAAAAAGCACGGCAAAAGGCTGCAGAATTCTAACAGGACGCTGGTAGTAGATAATCCATTGTGGTTAAAAGATTAGAAGGCATTGGTCTGCTTTTAAACTGCCGTTCTCTCTTTCACTGAAAGGAGAAAAAAATTAAAAAGAGGAGAAAAAGAAGAGAAAGAATAAGAAAGAAGAAAACATTGAAAAAAATTGAATAAAAAAGGGAAAAAAGGTAAAATGGTCAAACATTCCCTACCCGAGCAATTTTTGTCTGACAAAATGATCTTGCTTTCCCTTTTCATTTGTTGAGGATTTTTTAAAAATAAGGTTCTTGGTCTGCGTGACAAAGTAAGAAATAGAAATGTACAGTAAATTGACTCCTCCAGGTCCACAACGCATGCGCAAAGCTGCTGCTCCTTTTTGCATATGGACGCCCGATGTGTCCGCTCCTTTGTGACAGCAAACATCTAATGGGCTAGTTCATCATGTCTCAGTCTAAACTGTACAGTCAACCATTCAGAAAAGAATGGGAACCAAACCCTGAATACGAAGGTTAGCTCAAGGTGTGTAATTCCATTGTGTTATATATAAAAAAATAATAATTTGTAGTTCTACACATAGAAATACATTTGGAGCTTTCCAAGGGTTTTTTTTAACATAAATTATAGGGCAGCCAATAGCTACTTTCCTGACAAAGAAACGAGCACCCCTGGCGCAACCACGTATGAAACGACAGACAGGAGGACAGTATAGGCGCAACACAAAGACGCGCAGCAATTTTAAAAAAATGTTTGTTTAGGTTGTGATCTTCTCTTTAATCGTCTGTCCGGTTGATTTATTATCTTTACACCAGTCCCCTTCCTTTTTCTGGATCTTCCTGCAGTTGAAAGATGCTCGTTTTACTCCCAATAACTACATATATATGTGTAACTTCCACGTATAAAAAAATGTTGGGTTGGGGCTCTTTTTGTTTAAAACAAATAGGATATTTGTTTAACATGTCATTGTAGAAATAGTGAGTCAGTTCAGCATATGACAGCGGCCAGTTTTTGGATTAGCTCTAAGAGGTAATAAGACATCCCCTTGGCACTAAATTAGCACAGATTGTTTATCGGTGCACATCTCCACCTCCCTGCAGCTCGCAGTTCCACAGGACAGTGGGGGGGGCAAACCTCGCTCCGGGCGGCTGCCCAATCGATCGCTCCAATTGCGCAGGGGCATATCCCAGTTTCCCAGCAGCGCGTGGGCTGCAGCATCAACACAACAGCCAGCTCTGCTCTACTGCGTCCTCCCCGACGCTCTCCGCTGCTGCAAACAGCGGATCCGGACGCGAGAAAACGCCTAACAAAAAGCGCGATGAAGAAGGGGCTATTCTCAGCGTGAAGACACTGGAAGAGAGAGTCGAGGGAGAGAAACTGGGATATTTATCCGACTGCAGCCACAGAGATTCAGAGCTGCACAGGAGTAGAGGAGAGAGTGGTCATGATCGGACGAGGATTGTGCAAGCCGAGATTTGGAAAACGCGCAAACAGGCTGGGGTTTCTGCCCTATCTGTGCGCCGTCCTGCTGTGCGCGGCCCTGCTCGCTCTGCTCTTTGTGGACCTCATCGAGTCATGGATCACCTCCATGGGCTTGAGCGCGGCGATGGAGCCGCACGCCGGCATCATCCCCCCGCAGAGCGTTTCCCCCACCCGTCCCGAGGAGTTCCTGCTCATGCCCAGTCCGCTGGTCTGCCAGCGGGCCAAGCCTTACCTCATAGCCATGGTTACCTCAGCACCTGCCAATCAGGCGGCGCGCCAAGCCATCAGGGACACGTGGGGAGGGGAGGTGCAGGTGAGAGGCCTGAGGGTCATGACCCTGTTTGTGGTGGGCGTCGCATCTGACCCTGGACTGGGTAAGCTGCTGATAGAGGAGGCTCGGGAGAGAGGAGACCTGATTCAGGGGCGGTTTTTGGACTCCTACTCCAACCTCACTCTGAAGACCCTGTCCATGCTCAGCTGGGCGCGCAGGTTCTGCCCTCAGGCCCACTTCATGGCCAAAGTGGACGACGACGTCCTCTTCAATCCCAACGCCCTTTTGCACTTCCTGAACAAAAGCCGCAACCCCTACGAACAAGGGGACCTGTACCTCGGCCGGGTGCATCTCCACGTGGCTCCCGACCGCGACCCGGCCAGCAAGCACTACCTCCCCGCGGGGGCCTACCCCCCGTCCGTCTTCCCGGACTATTGCAGTGGTACGGCCTACGTCCTGTCTCGCTCCGCATTGCTCAAAATCTCCCTGGCGGCGTCCGCGTCGCCGCTGTCCACACCTCTGCCCCCCGAGGATGTTTTCGTGGGCCTCTGTGCCCGCACGGCAGGGGTGCTGCCCTCACACTGCCCGCTCTTCTCCGGCGGGCCGGCGGTGCCCTACGGACGCTGCTGCTACCAGGCCATGGTGTCCGTCCACCACGTCTCCCCCCGGGAGATGCTGCACTACTGGGCCGACGTCCACTCGTCGCCCCCCTGCTCCTGGTTGAGTCAGCGGGCCTCTCTGGGGGTGTGCAAAGTCAGAGCGATGCTGGGCTCCGCTCTGGGGCTGGAGCAGGGCTTGTGAGAGTCGATAGGAAAGCCAGCGGGCTGGACTCACTGGGGTCGTGCCTCACTTTAGTACTGTGAACAGCTCAAAGTGCTCTTCATGGGTGCGAACATACCACATGCACTGAGAGAATCTGTATTTTTAGAGCTTTATTTTTTAAAACTCCTGTTAGTGTGTACCTTTTACTTGTTTTGTTTAGCAAAAAAATAGGATAATCAGCCTGTAGTACAGAGAGCTGTTGGAGAAATCCTTAACCCGTCCCACAGCATCATGCAAGCTTCTCTAACTACAAAAACAAACCGTGTCACGCTGTTATTACGTGGTGATGAAATGCAGCTGCTTATGGGGTGAATGCACAAAACAGCAATGGTCTCTGACACACTGTTTCTGACACTTGCTGGCTAGAACCCTTATATTTAAATAAGTTTGCAATCTATTCTTAGACATTTCAATTTTTGTAGGTAGCGTGAATGCATGTCTTCACAAACCTCTGCAGTAGATAATAAACTACAAGATTTTTATTCCGTACCTCTGATCCACAAACAGCTTCAATCGATGAGGGAAAAATAAGCAAACTGCAAATTAGGACTTCATAAAATAGTGTCAACTCAGTTGTTAGTTGGCAATGAAGACAGGATTTGTGCAGTTGGAGCCTATTTACTGTTCAACTAAAACTAGATTCAGTGAGATAAAAAAGCTCCTTTTGCTTTACTGGGTCAGTCCGCAGCCACAGAAATGTGACGGAGAGCCGTAGTGCCACAGAATAGAGGTAATGTTTCACTTAAGTTAAACTTTAAATCTGCTATGTGACCTGACACAGAGCCATAGTGCCACAGAATAGAGGTAATGTTTAACTAAAGTTTGGGTGTGTTTTTTTTCAGATGTAAGAGGTAGGCACAGTGGGGGTGCACTCAGGAAATATATGTATGAATAAAATTCACCAATAAACCACAATCAATGAAACGCTGGCTGGCTTTTTCTTTCAACTCTTCCTTTGCTCTACAGCAGGGGCATCCAAAGTTGGTCCTCGAGGGCCGCCGTCCTGCAGGTTCCAGAGGTTTCCCTGCCTCAACACACCTGATTCATGCCAGCGTGCCATTATCAGGCTAGTGCAGAACCTTTGAACTGATAACAGAATCAAGTGTGGTAAAACAGGGAAACCTGTAAATCCTGCAGGACAGCGGCCCTCAGGACTGGACTTGGAAGCCCCTGCTCTACAGACCAAAGCTCCCCCTTCCAATTCAACTGAATACCAACTTATCACTTTAAATGAGTGTAATCAACCAGTCTGTGTCAATCTCACACACTACAGTTCTCTGTATTCATGACGACCAGCCCAATCCACCATCCTAAATTCATAGATGGAAATAAATCATATGTGATTTACACGTACTTATAAAAGGCTTATTTTTCATAATATTAGTAATGTTTTTGCTGAAACTGCGGTTTGCAGGAAACAACTTTTAACACCAAGATTAGTTTTTCTTTTCGCACAAACCTTTTGCAAGGGTGTCTGGTAGAAGGTTTAAGCAATATGGAGCTTGTCTGACTTTGACTCACTTCTGAAACCACAAACTGAGGTTGTGATGAATGACAATTGTATAAAGTAAGGTCTAACAATGCATTTATTGGTAAGAAAAAAACCCACAAATTCAGGATGCCAACCAATACCAGTTATGACACATGATATTGATATCTTCAATTGATTACAGATGTGCTTCAGGCTATAGATAGTAAATAGAGCGAACCAACTCCTGCTCTTAGCGTAAATTGTATGAACTGTTTCCAACCAAAGTACAAGCCTTGGCTGCCCACTTTATATGGAATTTTGGCAGTTGGCCTTTTTTCCTTTTTTTTTTTTTTTTCAAAACTGTGCAAGTAGCAGAAAAGTCTTTCTTTTATGTGAAGTTCAAAGGTCACGCCCACACAATATTACAGCATTTGAGCTGCACAAAGGGTCCTTTTTTATTTTTTGAAACGGTCCAGAGCAGACTTTTGGGAAGAAAGCATCTCTTTTTTCTTCTCCATCTTCTTTCGCTCCTCTTCTATTCTCATTTTGTCCTCCACAGCTGTTCTGATTACATCCTACAAGGAAAAAAAAATATGAGGACAAAGAGTCAGTTATTTAACCTCACCTTGTGGTACACTAAAAAGAAAGGTTTTCGCCTTAGGACAGGGCTTTATCTGTGCCTGGTTAAACCAACCTCTGTGATTTGAGGGATTAAGGGAGTGGCATAAAATCAAGGCTGTGTGAATCCTATTCTAATTATTCAAATGATCATTCTACGAGCCACGTGACCACGTGACCACGGAATGGATCGGGACACTTGATTTAGGTTATTTGGATGGGTGAACGAATATTTTTGGTATTATAGTGTATGTGCTCAAAGGTCGCGAACATCCAGTGCTGAGAAACATAGTGCTTCAGCACAGGATTAAATCCTTCTATGACTTCAAATCACGGGACTCGTCCTTTATCTCATCTCAAAAGTAGTATTCTAAGGATTATTTTATTCAAAATCTGCCAGAAGAGAACACCCTGTGGTCAGACTGCGGACTCACCCTCTGGTCCTCATGCGCCACCTGCTTCTTGCGCCTTTCAACAGCACCAGCAGAGCTGCGACCCTTCTTCTTAAACCTTGGAACGAACTTTTCTTTCTGGAGAGGATCAAAGCCCTGAAAGAGATTAAGATTAATTAAGGCAAGCGTGAGTTTTGACATGTGCGGATCAATAGCCCGACTAACACTTTCTGTGGGGATGCTTCGGAACACTGACCAGAGCTTTGACTCTGTCTTGATGCCTGAGATCAAATGTAGCGCTGTCGACCTGTCCCAGCTCTGTGGGGTCGAGGCTGATGAGCTCTGGCTGAATCTTCTCCAGCAGGGCTTTGACCTCCCACTCCTGCCTCTGCTTGGCACTACGGTATGGATTTGCATCCAGACCATCAAAGTTTGGCTCCCCTGCGCCTGTTGATGCAAACAGGAAGGACAGATGACCACACCAAACAATGCAGGCGGAAAAGTTCAACACAAACATGGCTCTATTCATTTGCTTAATCTGCGAGTAAACACAACATTTACTGTGTTCTGCATATATCATTGACAATGAAGTCATTGACATTATCCACCATTTATTTTGACCTATATATATACACAAACATATAGTTTTTTATGTATATATCTGTCTATATTATATGAGGAATTTTGTATATATATATATATATATATGTACAGACATGTATATATGTATATTCAATTCAATTCAATTTTATTTATATAGCGCCACATCACAACAACAGTTGTCTCACAGCGCTTTCCAAACAGAGCAGGTCAGACCCTACTCTGAAGTTAACTACAGAAACCCAACAATTCCCACCATGAGCAAGCACTAGGCGACATATGCCACTGTTTTATTTATGGAGCCAGTAACAAAAATAATTTCCCTCTGGGATTATTAAAGTATTTCTGACTCTGATATGACAGCACTGCTTCATAACAAGCCATAGGCTTAACCTGAGCATTAAGAAGATTTACCTGTTTAACTAGTTTCTATGTCACAGGTGTGCCTCTGGCACTAAACCTTCGAAAGCAACCATACCCGTCTAGGCTACTTTAGAGAACTGACGAGTCCAAAGCAAAGTAAATGCAGGACTACCATTATTGAGATTATCATCGATGAGTGTGGAAACAAATTAATGTGGCCTTCCACAAAATCTGCCTTTATAACCTGAAAACAGGGAGAATTTCAAAGAGGAGCTAAGAAAACGGGTTCTTTGGCAGCTGCCTGTAGACAAAAACTAACTTGTCAGAGGTCCAGCTGTCAGACCACAGTGACCACTGAGCAGTCTACACGACAGAGACAAACAGACACCACATTAACCTACTTTCCTCTGTCACTGTTTGCAAATGAGGGTTTTAAATATGACCTGCTCCCTCCCTTCCAATTGCACAAGCTAAAGTATGCAGGAAGGGGGGGTCGAACATTCACGCAAAGAGTCGATTATTGAACACAGCTGCAAATGTGAACTTTTTCTGCCTCGTTTTGAAGAGAACCCTGTGTGAAAAGTGTGTTTTGACTACTCAAAAATGACATGACACGCATCCTTTGTTGTCTCACTCAGAAAAGCAGGCCAATAGGAGAAGGGAAGCGCAGACTATAAGTCCCAAGCTTCAAGACATGTGTTTTCAGAGAGAAAGCATGCACTTTCCAACGTAATAACAGATAAAACAGTAGACGGGACAACTAAAAGTAGTTATAGTTTCTTTGAAGGCCACACAGCTCTGAGCATAAAAACTAAAACACAAGGAAGTATACTAAACAGATATCATGTTCCTGTTTAGGGTTTTTTCTAGCATCAGATAATGGTAAGCCGTTGAGGATGTGCACACAGATTACTATCAGTAATTAGAGAAGAATGCAACATAGGATCAAACTGTGATGTTGTATGAATGAGTCTCACAAGCTTGGTTTTTGCCCTCCAAATGACTACTTTTAAAAGGTGTCAGAGGAATAAGTCTGACCTGGTACGAGCATGCTGGTGAAACCATCTCCGTGGCCAACTCCGAGGACGTCCTCAAAGGGACAGAAGTTCAGCCCCCACACTGATCCCCGAACCCTGTGAGCCATGTAGGGTTTGGTGACCGGAGCACTCCAGACGTCTCTGTACAACTGCAATATGTTTTCAGAAACATTACAATTCATCCCCGCCAGATATCATGAGTTGTATGCACCGTTTAGCTGGCTGATGGGAGCTGGCTGCTGCACAGATGAGTTTCTCGGGCGTCTCTCAGCCACGGCAGTACATTTTTATCTTATACACTTGCTTATTACCAAGTCAAATGAATGTGCAATCCACAGCTGCTTGTAGACAAATCACAGTAAATGTCTTCCTCTGGACATCGACAGACTTTTTGACTGTGAATAAGCTAATTGCCATAAGAAATCAGAGAACTCTATCAAGCTTAGTATCCATCATGTTAGCCAGATAATGTGGGAGTAAAAAATGTGAATGACCTGGATGATGTCTCCCGTTGCTGCGGACAAGACTCCCCTCTGGCTCAGTGACAAACTTGAGGCTCCAGCAGGAAGGAAATAGGACTTGAGTGGTTTGAAGGCTCTAATGTCATAGACTTTTAGTTTTTTATCCATTCCAGATGTTACCATGTATCTGCCAAAAAAACAAAACAAGCAAAAATGAGGTGCATTTCATGGCATGCTGCTCTCTGTTGGACGTTGGAAAAACTGCAGTTTGCTGTAGAAAACATGCAGGTCAACATTATTTGACCTGAATGGATAACCATGGATCATTTTGAACCTTTCTAGTGCTCACACTGCTGCTTTTGGCCGTTTTCATAAAAAGTAACAGCGTTCAAAACGGAAAAGAAACACAAAGAGACTGCTAAAGACCTAATGTATGCACACCGAAGTTTCCAATCCTGTTTGATTACATTTCTTCCTTTGTCTCCAATTTACAGGCAGTTAAATACTGGCATACTGTTCCATCAGTCATTCTATAGAAGCTATACTGTGTTTTTAGGTCACTCACGTGCCGGTCTTATCCACTGCCACTGAGCGCACACCGCCTTGGTGACAGAGCATCTTGACGAGGGCCTCCTTCTGATTGGGTGACCAGAGGGTGACCGTGCCGTTGGGGTGGCCCAGGTGGATGATGGCATTGTGAGGGTTCTGGCACATCACGTCGAGCCGGCCCGTCTTGGTACAGATGGCTGCAACCTCCTTTCCCACTGACACATCTAGGTACTGCAGGAAGCCTGTGCTGCTCTGTGGACAAAAGATGGGTTCAGTGACCTGATTTTTACAGAAATTCCATTTTAAAAAATGCATTCCATCATCCCATCGTTTAAATGTTCATAAGCTTATCTTTTTTTTGTCTTTAATGGAAATCTTGTGAAAATGGTCAGTGACGCAATCGCAGGTAAGTCAAAGTTGAACTTATAACTGACACAGATAGTAAACCACTGGAACTGAAACAGTCAGTTAAGGGTTTGACCCACAAACAGTGACCCTGTCACCTTGTTAGGTCACATGAGAGTGACCGCGCATTACAGCTAAGCAAACCAAACAACTCACAGCTGTAGCGAGCAGAAAGTGATAGGGCAGGAACTGCATACGGAGGACGTCGTTGAATTTGCGAATGCAATGAAGCTCTATTCCGTTGGAGTCGTAGATATACAGCCACTTCTTCTGAGCCACTGCATACATGGTCTCACTGTGGAGCCACCTACATCAGCACACAGCGTTTAGTCTGGAGGGACGGTTCAGTTTGACCAGCAAACTTGTTGGTTACAGGCAGATTAAGCATGAATACTTTTTTTTTTCTCTACTTGGAGTGGTGCTACACAGTCTCACATATTTGTAACTTACTTTACATCATTGATAGATTCCATTACGTTTATCTCACACATGAGCTGTTTGGACTGCCAGTCCACACAGGCCACGTGGCCTCTCCTCCCACCGAGCAGCAGGTGGCTGAAAAAATGCATGATGAATAAATACCATGACAATACATACCATGTTATGTCGTTATACTTACAACTGGTGATAAAAGGAGTGGTAATTAATGAATAAAACCTTTACAAAGCTCCCTCCACTAATAAGCTGCAACACTTTAGAAAAAAAGTTTTTTTCAACATTCCAGCCAAATAAGCAAAGATAGCTTCAGAAACCTGAAGGGAAATTAAACCAGGAGGCATAAGAGGAAAGGGGTCCATCAGTGTGGGAAATAACTGGTTGGACAACTTGCTGGCAAATAGAAACTGTCTTTAAAAAGGTGCGCAGAAAAAACATGCAACACTGACCGACCAGTCTTGCTGTAATCCACTCGATATGGTCCAAACTGAGACAATTTGAGATTGAAATACTGTAGAAAACCAGACAGGATGGATTAAATCAAGCCAACAGTGTAACTTGATATGCCTTCTCATCTAAAATTTGAAAAACAGAAGCATCTTACTACCTTTGCTCCAGATGAAATATCCACAGCATCTTTAATATCCTCCTGTGAGATCATACACGTGTCCTCATCCTCATCTCCTTCTAAAAACCTAGGAATAGAGGAGATGGATTTAAATGGCATTCTGCACCTAAGTGCCATTACAGCCTGCACTGTGACATGAAGCACACACTGGGAAATTACCCAGCATCCTCTGGGAGTAGCAGGTCAAAGCGGGCAGCTTGTTTCTGGGCCATCTCTGAAGCTTCCTCTGAACGAGCTATCATGTCTTTCAGCTTGTAAAAATGGCGTGCAGGCTGAGGAGGGGGAGAAGAGGACACTGTATGACATATTGAGCAAAGGAAAAAAAAATCAATTTTGGTGATACAGTATGCAAACAAAGGTTTGTACCTTTTCAATTTTGTCTTTCCTCTTGAATTTCTGTAACCTGTCTTTTGGGATAGGAGCTGGCCCAGGGAAGGGGTCAGATTTCTTTAATCAGGAAAAAGGAAGAACGAAGATTGAACAATTTGCTTTGAGTGGTTAATTTGACTCGAAAATTAGATATGTAGACGTCCATTCACTATTTATAAGATATCAAATAAAATAAATATTGACGCAAAGCCCTAATAAGACACATTATTCTGAACATCAATTCTCATGCAACCGCAAAGTTGTTTTTAACCCATAAGAGCCCAGACCCATTGGGCCCTGAAGACAAATGATAGGGAACAGAAAAATGCCCAAATGAAACCCATTTATCAGATTACAACAATCAGGTAACAGCACCAAATGTCCATGATCTGTGATTTCCAGAAGTTCCTTTGGCCATTTTGGATGAACATATTTGAGTTTAAATAGGTTGTTACACCTGTGTGCGTTCTTATTAGTTAAGGGATGAAGGGAAATGCCACTCATCTTTGTCAGTCTGTTAACATAAAAGACGAACAACAATGGGATCCTTATTAGTCACCTGTCTAACTACTGTTATTGTCAGTCTCTTACCCCTGATATGAATTTCTTCCCATCTTCCTGAGCATCTTTGTGCTTCCTTTTCTTTGTTTTCTGTCCTTTCTGGTTTTCCGGCTGCACCACCTGCTCAGTCGGTTCTCCTTCCTTTCCATCTTTGTTTTCATCCTTTGACTCTTGTGATAACTCCTGCCAGTAACGAGCTGGAGTCTGTCATGGGAAAAAATCAATGGAAAGTTAGCAACGTAGAAGTTCAGCGCAGCGTTAAGGTAGCGAGTCACCCAGTGGGCGAAAGTGGGCTAAAACTAGTCACAAATGGACGCCTACAGCGAGACTAGACTTCCAAGGAAACTGATAAGCTGACCCAATAATTAAAGGTGCACTTATGAGCCATTGCAAAATATCTATTTGTGTTTACCTTCTTCTTTTTACCCACGTGTGTATCGTTCACTACTGCCTCGCTGGCGGCCGCCATCTTTGTTGTGTACGTTCTTTTCACTTCCTGTTGCGTCTCATCCGCTACATCATCTCCGTTAAAAAAAATACCTCCGTTGTCTTTTATGTATGAAGCTACTCCCATTTTCTTACTTTGTGATTTTCGACCGAATTTAACATTATATATATTTTTAAAAATTAAATATATGTGCTGTTAATATGCACAATAGTATGATTTAACACCACAGAAAAAAGCTCTCATATGCACTGCTGTTTGTGTTTCTGTGCTTCCCTTTCCAGTTGTTTGTGCCATTTTTCTGCAACTTTTCTGTCCTTTAACTGAGCACATGTCAATATGCTGTGTTCATAGTTCATTATTAAGGAAGGCTGGAAAGTATTATTTATATCAACACTGTAACCATGGTTTTGTGTGTATCCCAATAATCACATTTTTTTAAATTATCATTACTTAAGCACATCCATGCTCCCACACAATTCTTATGTAATGGCCCAGTGATACACGAAAACATCTAAAAAAAGTTTAAAAAAATATTGTTTACACCTATCTAATTAAAAAATGGCCATTTATAATGACGTGTATACAAAATACATATTAAGAGACTTCCTTTGCCCCTGGTTCTGTGATTATGTTACTTTTTTTTCTTGCCATCTCATATAAAAAAACATTAGACAATTAATCAAAATACACAAGTAAATAGGTGGTCGTCAGCAAAACCATAGATGCAAAGAATGTTATCGTTGCCCCCCCCCCTTTTTTTTCATGTTACCTCCGAGGAGACACTTAATAAGGGAATAAAATGGACAAAATGAAACCCTGCATTGTGCAAAAGCCCCACATGGCGTGCTTTGAAATATGCATGAAGTAAGCACTGCTGGAAAAGCCTACTGCGGCTCTCAGAGGTAACGGAGTCGCCTTTCGGCTTTCCCCGTCAGAGGTCGCCACGGCGCCTCAGCCGGTTTTTCTCATGATGGGTTTGTCCGGAGTGATGCAAACCTCGAGATCTTGCCGGGCTTGATAGCGGCACTTGTGTTTTCAAAGTAATGTAGAAAGAAAAGTACTCTGTCCTTTCTGTCTGGCGAGCTTCTACAGACTAATCATTACTTGATAGATTAAATCATCGAACCTTCTCTCTATCAGTGGCCTCATCTGATCCCCCCTCCCCACCCTTCACTTCCTGCAAAGCTTTAGTCTTTTTGCAGTAATAATACGATTCCTCTCCAGATTACTAAGGTAATTATTTTGTAGCATGTTATGTTCTAAAAAAAGGTTTCCGGTGCATATTTAGCTGATGAATGAGAATGCCTTCACTTCCAGCTTTTGTGCTTTGTATATTTTGAAGGAATCATGCAATCTGGGAAGGCGTGGCAGTAAACAAAGACTGGCTTAAGGGGAAGTTTATGTGGACAAGTAGGAATTGTGAAATGGCAAAAGAGGAGGGCAAAGTACTTCCCTGGTCAGGAGAGAAATCTGAAGCCAGAAAGACACCAGAAGTAGCCGACCACTTGATCCTGACAAGGTATGTGACAATCAGATTTTTAAAGCATTTCTGAGTAATGGCTTGAGGTTTCCTGCAATTCATTTACCAGGCAAAAAGCTCTGAGTGATTAAGGATGAGTCTGCTGAAGGAGCTATTTCAAATCTGTGCAAGGACAAGTGTTTGTGCAAGTATTTTCAATAGCTCCTCTTGCAAGGGGTTTTCAATAGCTCCTCTTGCAAGGGTTTTCAATAGCTCTTCTTTTCAATTAGCATCACTATTTCCCTTGCTTCTTCACACTTGGTCTTTATACGCAAGAAAGTCTTTTGGAAGATTTTTCACACAATCTCTCTTCACTGTCTACAACTGACAGCAATCTTTTCTTCTTTGGTTTGTTGTCTTTTTAAATAAAAAAGATGGATTCGGTGTCTCGACCGGAGCTGTTTGATTTTCACGGAGTTGCAATGACTCATTTCTTCACGGACAATTGGGAAAACATTCAGAACTTTCAGGCCAGATCAGATGACATAGTTATTGCAACATACCCCAAAGCAGGTCAGTCTTCAAGAACGTACAAACATTTATGTTGAGAGCCGTTACAAATGTGTGTGTATAGGTGAGGGGCTGTGTTGACTCTATTTTCTTCTTTCTCTGTCTTCCTGTAGGAACCACATGGGTCTCCTACATTCTTGACCTGCTGTATTTTGGTAAAACAGCTCCAGAGCGTCAAACAACCATCCCCATCTATGAAAGAGTACCATTTCTGGAGATCTGCGTCCCGGGTTTGGATTCAGGTCTGGCTCCTTATTTGTTTTTATCTCTCCTGAAGTCGCTTTAATGCAGTGGGTATAAAAAGTCTCTGCATCCTGGTTAAAGTATCTGACGTTTTCCAGATTAGTTTTCGAACTATAGCTTTTTCAAATGATCTCCTCTAGTGAAGACATTCCTGTGTTAATGAGAATTTGGTAATTGTTGTGTTAATGAAAAAATACTCTTCGTCTTCTGCTTCCCAGCAGTCAAATGGTATTTGTTTTTTTTACGTAAAATTCTCCTGATATGAATAAATCTCCTTTAAAGGCTGTAGAAGTGCAGACTAAAAGCCTACCTCCTCTTGGAAGACAGCCAAAGAAAGCATGCTGTAGGTCTCTGAAGACATGCAGAGATTTTCCAGGAGGGTTTGTGTGTTTTCTGTGAATATTTGCCTGTCCTGGATGACAAAAAGGCTGTGTACCTTTTTCTTCACGGCATAGAGATGAAAAATACGCAAGCCTGAGCTACACACATAATTCTGGATCCCTCAAATGTACAAAAGATGAATTAGATAAAAACAAAAAACTTTAGATGTATATATCCAAAACAAATTATGTAATCGATCATCAGTTGCTAGTCTTTAGCTTATTGCTGGAGATCTTTGTGAGGCACAATGATACAGAATTACATGCACAATATGTGAAACAGAAGAATAATACTATTCCTCTCCAGATGTGTTGACCACCTCTCTGGGGCTTAATGCATCTGGAGTGAAACATTACACAGTGCTAGGATGTATTGTGGTCAGATGAATCACAACTTAAGATTTTTGAAGGTAGAAAAAGATGGGCTGTGTATCTGGGCCAATAATGTCCCTGAGGCCTGTTTAAAGCCAAACACTGTGGTGGGACAGGGTTCCCTGTGTTGCCTTAGGTTCTTGGGCAACAGGACGTTTTTCAACATGTCTTTGCAAAACCACCTTCTGAACATTTTACATTGGAATGGCTGAGGAGAAAGATGATACTGTGGACTGGAATCTCCCGGCTTCCCTGACCCTTCCCCAGTGGAGATTACGACCCAAAGACAACCATCTCAAACACCTCACGACTAAAGAAAATGACAATATAACTTTATTGCCGCAAGTTCTGTTGAACATTGTGAGAAGAAATAGAAATGTTGCAAAGTAATTAAAGCTTTATGTTTTTAATCCTTTTAATTCCATTTTTAAGGGAATAAATTGCAAGCCTTCATTCTGAAAATAAATGCGTGCTGACAAATTAATAACCTTCAACAAAGTAAATATATAATAATCACATCATTTTTTTTAAATGTATTTCCCACATTGTTCAAATTGTAACATTGAAACACAGCCGTTTGGATTACACTCAGCTAGTTAATGTTAAGATGTCTTCATCTCTTCAAACAGGAAAAGACTTGGCAGATAAGCTGCCCACCAGCCCCCGACTCATCAAAACTCATCTTCCTGTCCAGTTTATGCCAAAGTCCTTTTGGGAGAACAACTCCAAAGTATAGAATTTTTCTATTATCCTAATCTTTTCTTGGTGTACCGTATCATAAACTGGGATTACGGGGTAAAATGGTTGTAATCAAGCATCAAGAAAAGAAGAGTTTGACCGGTGATTACGTCTGTGTTTTTCCTCTGTAGATTATCTATGTGGCCCGCAATGCAAAAGACAACATGGTGTCTTTTTTCCACTTCGATCGCATGAATGGGCTCCAACCAGAGGCTGGAGAATGGAACAACTACTTTCAGAGATTCTTAGAGGGAAAGGGTACGTGTGTAATGATGTTTTGTTTTATTCTCCGGGACTGCCTGGTCCTTACTTTCTTTTAATCATCTGTGGCCTCAGTGGTGTTCGGCTCCTGGTACGATCACGTGAACGGCTGGTGGAAAAAGAAGCAGACTCACTCAAACCTCCACTACATGTTCTATGAAGATCTAATCGAGGTTGCGAAACATTCATCTCTAAAATGTTCCTTTGGACGCTGATAATGTAAGACTGATATCTGGTCATGTGCTTTCAGGATACTGGACGGGAAATAGACAAACTCTGCTCCTTCCTCGGTTTGTCTCCCTCAGCTGAGGAGAAGACAAATGTCACACGTGGAGTTCAGTTTGACAACATGAAAAAGGATAAGATGGCCAACTATTCTACACTCCAAGTTTTGGACTTCAAGGTTTCCCCCTTCTTGAGAAAAGGTTTGTTACACATTGAGAATTTTTTTTAATGAGCGGACTTTAACTTTGAGTGGAAAGGCTGAACTGATTGGTTGTGGTTCTGCAGGGAAGGTTGGCGACTGGAAAAACCACTTCACTGTGTCTCAGAATGAAGCTTTTGATGAAGACTACAAGAAGAAGATGAGGGACCCCACACTGAAGTTCCGCACTGAAATCTGAACAACTCTGGGTGCATTACATTTAACAGTGAGGATAACCAGAAGTGATCTTAAGAGTAGTGTTATCTAAAATGTGAGTAGTTTATCTTCCTCATGAATCTTAAACAAAGCTCAGAGTTGTCCAGTGACTGTGAGCTGTGATGACGCTGATAGTCTTGGAGAAAACATGGAATTCTGCATTTTTCACATGTTGCAAAGTTGATTATACTGTCCAAATGATTTTGTCAGGTGTGTGAGACACTGAATATCTAAACATACAACTGCCACAACTCCTTGGAGTACACACATTAATTCACAGAGGCCTTTGATTCAAAAGATATATTGTTGCTCTGTAGAAACAAGAGTTTGTATGGTATGAGAGACTGCTGATTTTTATGTTTGTTTTTTTTAAACTTCCACGTCACTTTTTTAAGCTTCAGGCAGCATTGTGCCTTTATTAGTAAAAGCTAGAGGTTTCCATCTTTGTCAAATCCTGAAAATACCTCATTATTTGTAGTTGTTGAAAAAAATATTTTTGATATAGGTTTTAACAATGTACTCGTGCTGTGTGTGTTAAATTCAAGACAGTCCATGATTAATATATTCTTTTCATGTGTACTGACAGCATAATGAAAAATAAAATGTGATGAATCATTCTTTATTGTTTTTTTGTTTGTTGATCATTCAATTGTGGCAAGAATTAGATCTGACCTGTCTAGGCTGGGATGAGTGACTTTCATGTCTGACTGTAAATGAAGCATAACCACAAGGAAGCTGTTTGGCATGTTACGGACATAAACGGACTTCTTTTGCCAATACTTCCCACACAGTGTGATCAATGCCTATGCTCTCATTTTTTAAAAACAGTTTAATGTATTACCATTGTACTTTTAGACATTTATGACCACGCACCTCTTTCAGAGTTCTGAAGTTGGAAGGACGAATCCTAGATAGTTACAATAAATCCAACTGATAAAAGCTGTCAGCCATGCTCAAGCCATTTCAGATGAGCAAGTTAATGTTCTGATGTTCATTAAGGCCGTCAATATTTCCATATTTCACAAGTGTGTGTGGGTGGAGAAGACAGCAGTGGGGGTATATGTTGTAATTTTTGCATTTCCCAGTTTCAACAACACCCAACTTCATGTCACGTGATGAGACTGCCAGTTTAGTCAGACATTGTGTCATTTATGAAGGTAAAATAGTTCTCAGGCTTGTAGACATCTCACTACTGTGTTGTAGACTGTTCCAGCTTACCTCCAGAGAAAAAGGGTTAAAGTAAATCGATGCTAAATGTAAAGACTTCTTTAAACTATAAATCCGGACTTTAGCTGAGATTGAAAATATCATGGAGACAGTAAAATAGCTAAATATATAATATAGTATGTTATACTAATTTTGTAGTCTTACCTTTTTAACATCACTGTGTCATAATTTTGCATAATTTCTGACTAGTGTCCATTGAGGCTAATTTCTTTAATGTTTTTTTCATTAGTCCAGAACAATGGAAGGGAAATTGACACACTTTGTTCTTTCCTTGGCTTGTACCCTTCGGCTGAAAAAGAGGGAAAAGGTCAGGGCTCCGGCAGCATTATACAAAATCAAACAAAACAAAATAACCAACTTCTCCACTGTCAAAATGATGGACCACAAGCTTTCTCATTTCGAGAGAAAAGGTCAATGAAAAGTGATAAGAAAAAACAACTGTTGAGTTCTTTATTCAAGTTTACTCAAGTCTCCTTTCAAATCTGCTCATTAGGAAAAGTGGGAGAATGGAAGAAGCATCTCACTGTGTCCCAGAATGAACAGTTTGATGACGACTAGAAGAAAAATGAAGAATACTGCACTACACTTTTGAACTTTCATTAGACACCTTGCTGGGAATGATGGGGCGTTTATCACATATGTATTTTTACAGTCTATTGCAAATGTAATGTTTCTGTTTATAGTTATAAATAGAACCAACTTTGCTGTGTAAGAGCAGGTTGATCCTGATTAAACTATTGTTGGAGGAAGTTTATAATACAGAAAAAATAGAAAAGTACTGCTTTTATATTTTCATAATAAACTTCACTGGCAAATTCAGAGACTATTTTTTTCCCCTTTGGAATGCATTTGGTCTCTTTTCCTGGGTGAATACTCACCATCCTGCCACACATCTGCTTATCATTTATCGGCCCTGCCTCATTTCCTGTAACATAAGATATCTCTGAACAGCAGAATAACGCGCAGAGCTAGACATGCAGTGTGTCAGATATAGAGCTGACTTTGGACTTCTCAGATAGGACACATTCAGGTGAGCTGACGTTTACTTGTTTGACTTATCATATTTCTTTTAAATCAAGGCTTTGATTGAACCACAGATTTTTGGGGGAGAGTGTCTTGGTTAAATTGATAATGATATATGACTATCTGTAGACATCACTTATGAAAGATCCCTTAATATGTAAACACCATGCTTTGGCAGCTTCTCTTAGCTCTTTCTGTTGAATGTTGCATATCTCTGGGCACACATCTGAGGTCCTTCACATTCAAAGAAAAGAGAAATCTTTGCCTACAGTACATTTTTCCAGTTTGCTACTGTGTGCTGTGCATTGCTTCTCACATGAATTTCCTATCTAAAAATTATGTGAGTGCAGCCCGTTTCCATTTCTTTTCTCCCTTTCAAGCCTGGCTCCGGTGCTGCATTGACAAGGTCATTTTTTGAGGCTGGTGTTGTGCCAAGGTAAGTGTTCCTATCTGAAATGGCATCCCTCATTTAATGCAGTGTGGAGCTGCAGTAACAAGGTTTGCTTTCTCTATGTAAACCGGGAGAGGTGGGGGGGTGGGGGTGGGGGGGTTATGTTGAGGTTTCAAAATAGTTTGAGGTTTATTGTTCAGTCTGAGAGGTTTTTATCATATCATTTGATACTCGTAACAATAACATGATATTATTTGTTACTGAGCTTAACTCTTCTATTTGATTCAGAAGGAATATTGAAACACTTAGTAAAACTATATCTCCATACAGTAGAACCATGGCACTCATGATTATTAACCATTTTTAAAATGCTGGATCAGTCAACCCCAAGTCGTGAAATTCTGAAGAACACAGTTATTTAACAATTAAATTCTTTATACAGACACAGATACAAAGCGACAGCTCCTGTATCCAGTGTTTATCAAGTGTTTTGTTCAGTAGTTTCAATGTGTTTGGATACATTTGATATTTGGGGGATGTCCAATTCATCCCTGACATGGACGCATTAGTCAACTAATTGCCAACGTCTTATATTCTGTGTAGTGGAGATTTTAATGCAATCTTGAACCCACTGATTAATGAATTAATATATGTGAACATTAATGGTAAAAACACCTGCCAGGAGCTTTTTATGGAAATGTATAATTTGATTGAGATATTGTGGTTTATATAAATGATTGCAGCAGGCAAACTAACAGATGTTTATGTTTACCTAGGTCTTGAAAACACTAGGATAGCATACATCTAAAATGTTTATCAAAGTTGAACTATATAAAAATGTAAAATGAACAAAACTATAACTGATAAGCAGAAGCTTATGTCCAATTGTTTTTCTAATACCTGTAGAAACGCATATACATCATGATACAATGAAAGTGAAACTTCATGATTACTTGGTTCTCAGCTGGGTCATTTTGAAAAAAGATATTTCTAGCTGTACAGAACTGAAAAAACGACCCAATCCCCAGCTAACGATGGTTTGTCACCAGATTTCTCCAGCAGATGGTGCTCTTTATTCTTCAAGACACTACCAAACCCGAGATGCACCACTGATAACTTAGATAATGACTGTTGAACTTCTGCCTTGGTCTTTTCTGGGAGGAATAGAAAAGACAATCAGGAACAAATCAAAACAATTAAACTTACTTAATATTTCACTAATCTAAGATCTAAGAACAGAAAAAGGTTTCTGTCATTTGTGACGGAGGAAAACAATCTTAATGATCATTCACAAAGCAAGACTGGTTTTACAATATTCTTTTTAATGTAAAATAGAATAAAAATGACTTACACTGGACTTTTTATATGTGTCCATCCATACACTTAAAACATGCAAGATAGAGCTCCATTTTATTACAATTTCATAAAACAATTGTTAATGGATGAGGATGGTAAGTGTGGCCTTAACTGTCTAGACTTTACCACTTTATACTATATGCTTTTAAATTACTTTTAAATTGTCATTACATCGTCTCTTTTTTGGTGTGAAATTTATCTCATCATTGATTAGAATGTTGACTAAATTCCCCTTGAAAAAATATTGCTCTTTTAGAACATAATGTTATATCTTTTAAGAAGCAAGATGGCGCTGCCACCACGACCTATACTGTTTGAATTCCGTGGGGTTTCCATGACCAAATACTTCACAGAAAACTGGGACAACATACAGAACTTCAAAGCTAGACCAGATGATATCCTCATTGCAACGTATCCAAAAGCAGGTGGGCTCTGATGTGGGGCGTTGTTGGTTATGTGGGGTTTGCTTTCATCATACATTTGTTTCAGCTGCAACTCCAGCTCTGAGAGCCGTCTTTGTTTTATTTCCAAGGAAACACATGGGTGTCTTACATCCTGGACCTGCTGTATTTCAGCCACATGTTACCCAAAAGAAAGGACTCTGTACCACTCCATGAAAGAGTTCCTTTTTTGGAGATGTATATTCCTGGGTTTCCTTCAGGTAGGGTCAACGTTGTGAGAAATAGAAATAGATTAAATAGATATTATTTGCTGACTAGTGTTGTCATTCTCTTAGGAGTAAATGAACTGAATCAATTAACCACCTCTCCTCGCATCATAAAGACACACCTACCGGTCCATTTTCTTCCCAAATCTTTCTGGGACCAGAACTCCAAGGTACATGGTTTGCACAGTATTTGTGATTTTTTTTTAGGAGACATTCACGTTCCAGGTTTTGCATGTTCCAGGTTTCCTTTTCCCTACACCTTCTGTCTGGCTGCAGATAATCTATGTGGCTCGCAATGCCAAGGACACCGCGGTGTCTTATTTCCACTTTGATCGCATGAACAGGGCCCAGCCAGAACCTGGCGACTGGAGCAGTTACCTCCAGAGATTCATGGAGGGAAAAAGTGAGTGGCAAAACCAAAGCAGGAATGACTGAATGATGAAAGGCTGTTTCTTCACTTGACTTCCCGGCATTTCTCAGTGGTGTTTGGTTCCTGGCATGATCACGTAAAAGGCTGGTGGGAGAAGAAACAGACCAGGTCTAACATCCTGTATTTGTTCTATGAGGATCTGATTGAGGTAAATATTCAACTTTTTATGGGATTGTGAATGTAAGCACATGATTATCAGGGTTTACTTTTGCAGGATACTGAAAAAGAACTTAATCGGCTCTGCTCCTTCCTGGACCTGGCTCCAACCACGGAGCTCAAGAACCAAGTAAGAGAAAAAGTTCTATTTGACAACATGAGAAAGGACAAGATGGCAAATGGATCAGCTGATGAAGTCTTCGACTTCAAGATATCTCCTTTCATGCGCAAAGGTTTGCTGTGTTATCTTCTAAATCTGACTTCACAGGGACATGGGGAAAGGAGAGAGGAACATTTACTTTAATAGTTGTTTCTGTGTTCATCAGGAAAAGTTGGAGACTGGAAAAACCATTTCACTGTTCAGCAGGATGAACAGTTCAATGAGCATTACGACAGAGAGATGAGAGACAGTGACCTTCAATTTCGCACAGTTCTGTAGTGGCTCGTCCTTCAACAGGTCCTTACTGTTCAAACAAAGACATGATGAAAGGTATTCAAAAATGATCATGACAATAAAAGGTTAAGTGCTTTTTAGTTTTTATTTGAAACCAGAGTTGAAATGCAGCAAGACAAAGTTGGACAACATTTCAATGGGCAAAGTAAATAGAGCAAAACTAAGACTGTACTGCCTACTCACTGAGGACCGGTGGGATGCAGTGATGATCCTTTCTATGGCACACAGTACTTTGTGGTACAGCACTTCAGGTGCCTGAGGTACCACCACAACTACATTGTCAAACAGGTATTTTTGAGACCAGGAAAGGTTAAATCCAAGAGGTTCATTGGAATGTTGACAGAAACAAAAGGCAATTTCCTTGCAACTATTAAACAAGTCAAGCCACTTACATCACAAGGAGGTACGGCTAGTCAGAGGTAACAAAAAGCTTGGGATTTATCCATGGATGTATTTACTTAATTCATATAAAGGATCTTGGTTTCAGGTGGGGATTTCTAAGATTATTATTCTAAACAGTCTTGGACAGTTTGCTGTAAATCATGAGAATAAACATGGTTCCACAAAAATAGTTTTCCCTTTTTCTGAAAAATCTTGATGTCGTTTACAGAACGAAAACAACAAAGCAGACACTGAAATCCATTAGATATTGACCATTAACACTACACTTAGTAAAAACGCATCATTATCACAATTCTGAGCACAGCCCAGAAAGTCCTTGATGTCAACTTCTCAGTCAAGCATCAACCGTCACAGCTCTTCGTGTCCTAAACGGGACACAATCTTAAATCAAGTCAGCAAAACTGTTCGCACAGCTCCGACACGAGTACCACTTTGGATTGTCTTTCACAGTTAGTAACAACTATGACTATGTTTCAAATACATCTTTATTCATTAACATCAAAAATAATCGTATTTACATTGTTACCTATACATCATACATTTGATAGATATATTCATCTTGGGTATTAAAATACTTCAGTCTACAGTTCAGTTAAGTGCTCTGTAATAAGTGAGGCTAATGCCAAGCCAGTCTTGAGTGTTACAGCCCTGCCAAGCTTTGCAGCCTTTATCTATATATCTAACAACGTAATCTCATTCAATGCAACCCGGTATGCTTAATACTCTGGTTCTGAATATGCAAACAAACAGTCGGAGGCTTTACTGATGCAAGGTTACAGATAGCTAAAGCTTTGGTCCTGCAGGGCCTTCTCATAACAAAATGCATTCAACTCATAGGTGACATTTGTGTTGCCGTTTGATGAACTGATCAAACAAGCATATCCTTAGCAGCAGTTTCCCATTGAAGTATGTGGCTGCTGTCTCTGGTTGTTACTTACTGCCAACATCTTTAAGTAACTGGCTTTAACAAACAAGGCAAACTGGACAAGCACAACAGCAGCAACAAGATAAGGGCCTAGACGTACTGGAGGTGAATCACTGATAGAAATGCTAAGATGCTAAAGAAGAAACAGCACAGAAACCGGCTGTGACAATGTATGGCACATCTTCATATCACGAAAACCAAACTCAATCAACTATTGAAGCAACTAAATTCACCATCAATGATATGCAGACAATTTCTTTCACAGCAACAGCAGAAGTGGGACCTTGCAGACACTCGGAGTCATATTTTTTCTTACCCTTCAGACACATGAAAATCTATGTATCATACATTAAGGGAGGATGAGCTACACCAATGTCACAAATCTCTATCACATTACAAGCACAGACCTGTTCATTAACCTTTATCGGGAGTTGTGTGGTCCCAGTTTAGTTGAACAGTGTAACATGAAAAAAGTGAGACAAAGTGAAACGATGGAAGGAGCTCTGACTGTGCTGTGCATTATCTCCCTGTTTTGTTTCAAGAGTGAAATGCTGACAATACCTGTTAAATCAGCTGTTGAATATTCCAACTAGGTAAAAGGCAACTAGACTCTTTTAAGCCTCTCCACGTATGCACTGGGAAAACTTCTGCTTTCAAAGTAATTTTAGGCAGTTTTACGATCGACTTACGCTAGTGTTTGTATAAGATTTGATCAGAAACACATTGCTAAATGGGTGTGTGTAATGCGCAGCCATTGGCGCAAATGTCGAAGGTTTGCTTCAAAGGTCAATAATCTCACTGCCGACGCTGGCCGAGTCGTCGTGTCGACTGACTTCCAGGTAACTGCGCGACCCCACTGGCCTGGCCGCTCTCGCTCTCTCAGAGTCCGGGGTGATAAACGGCCGCGTGTCGTCCAGTCCGTCCTCCCCCAGATTCCCCGTCGATGTTGTGGAGGGACGAAGCGACACCGGGCAGGACACCGATGAGGGAACGTTTGCTGCATTCCCGCCCCACCTGTGACCCTGGTGGGATGGCGTAGGGGGAGCGGTCACCTGCCTGCTGGGCACGCTGCTGAGAATGCTGCCCCCCAACGGCATCGAGGACTCTGTGGGGGCCTCGCTGCTCTCGGAGAGCAGCTGAGGGTCACTGTTCCTGCGGAGCCACGGCCCCTGGCTGCACCCGGAGCCCGGAGACGGTGACTGTGAAGGTGGGTTCAAAGGATGGAAAAGACTCCCCCCTACAATCAGATGTTCTCTGTGTAGAGCCTCATCAATGCTGCGGGTAAGGTCAATGGGGGAGGGGGGCCGCAGATCAAACTCATAGAAAGACAGTGAGGTATCCCTCTCCTGGTCCAGGCTGCCGCTGACCGAGCGGTGCGGCGGCTGACCCAGCGCCTGCAGTCTCAGCAGCGAGCCAGCGGAACCGTCGGCTATTCCTCGCTCGGCGGAGTGGCCGCGGTGGTTGCGTCCGTGGTTACTGTCTTTGACGCAGCGTGGCTGAGCGCTGCTCTGCTCATGGTTCTGGTTCCGGATGAGACTTTTGCTGATGTCGGCTCCAGGGCGCTCCTGGCCAGCCCAGTTGTTAGGCACTTCCCCGGGGGCACCCACGCCGTTGCTGTCGGACTTCCTGCAGGGCTTCCCCCTCAGACTTTGGACTATCTTGGACCAGCAGGTGTGTCTTTGGGGAGAGCCCGCAGATTGACCAGGGGATGGGAGATCTGCTGCTGCTCTGCCGTCTTGTCCTCCTTCCTCCCTTCCCCTGCACACTGCCGGTCTCCAGAACACCCACGAACCCAGGAGTAAGAGGGCAAATGCCCAGGCCAGTTCCAGAAGTCGGGCCCAGAAATGCACGAGCCACCACCCCCAGCTAAAGCGTGTCCAGTCCCCTAACAGTCCATAGAGCCACAAAGTAGCATGGATATGGAGCCCACAACACAACGCCCCTAGAACTGCACAAACTGCCAGTGTCCTCCCCAGAATCACCCCCATTCTCCGACTCCCTACCCAAGTCTTCCTCCTGGTTTCGTCCGGGACTCCTTGGTTGGGGACAGGGGGGCAACGTATACGTGGAAAAACATAGCAGAGGAAGCCCAAACAGAGAGAGAGGCCCCAGCACAGGGACAGAACCTGCAGAGTGACCGGCACCACAGGGGACAGCGCCGGTGACAGCAGATCGGCAGCTAACAGCAGCGTACTCTGCAGCACAGCCAGGACCGCCACCAGAGGAGGACGCTCCAAAGTTGGGGGCAACACGCTGACCCCGGCCGCCCTCAGGGCCAGCAGTGCCAGGGAGGCCTGCGCCCACACCAGCAGGTGCAGGGGCAGGTTATAGAGGGCCGTGACCACGGGGCGAGGGAGGAATTTTCTTGTGCCGTAAGGATCAATGAAAAAGAGAGCTGCCCTAAGGCCTCCAGCCAGGAACAACAGAGCGTTGGCCAGTGCTAGCGCACCTCGGTGAGGACAAGTCGTGCCAGGGGCTAGCGTGAGGCCCAGAGCGGCCCCAGCAAACAGGAGGAGGAAGAGGCTCGCCGACCCGTAGACGTGCAGCTCCCAGGCGAAAGCCAGCGTCCTGCTCAAATCGTTCCAGTACAAAAGCGTGCCATTAGGGAAGGGGTTGGCGCTGGGAGAGGGGGCTGGGATAAAGGTGGCGTGGGGAGCTTGGTGTGGATGATCCAGGTTGAGAGAGCGGTTTCTATGAATAACACCAGCCTGATACGTTGGGCCGAGTCTTGACTTTATAACAGGAACACTTGTGGTGAGGAGGGAGGATGAGCCTGAAAAAGAGAGACTTTTATTTGTCAAATGTTTCAAAACATAAGAGGAATACACAACACCGACTCTACACATCGTTTGCCTGAAAGGTGAAGTGATGAAACCAAAGTGTACGAGGAACCACTAAAAACCAGTAGAGGGCTGCAGCTCCCCATGGAAGACAAGAAGCCAAACAAACTGGGCTTTTCAGCTGTTTGCGGTAATTCAATCACCTCAGTCAAGACACACTGTTCAAGGACTTTATACAGTTTCCCAAAAAAGTGACAAAAGCCTGCTTGCAAAGCCTTAGTGGTGTCTTACTAAATTTGAGCCTGTGTGTTTCCTTTCACCACTCTGTTAGAAATTGGAGGGTGTGGTATCATATAATGTACAATTATTCAAAAACACTTGGTGCAGAATGGAAATAAAAAAGTTAAACCATAAGCAGCGTTGATTTGTTCAGGAAGCACAGATGTACACGATGATATCAGGTACTAACATTTGAAACATCGGAGAAAATGCAGAAATTATTTGATCCTTCCAAACTGATCGACCTCATTACACAGACAAATGTATCTAAAAAATTGGAAGCTGAATAACCAAAAGTGTGAAATATGTACCCTCATCACATATGACATAATTAACAGTGACATATTTGTTATCTAACATGGCCCAGTGTCACATCATATCTACTCTGCAGGAAAGCTCTGTTAGAACATAGAAGTATAAAACAATATGAAAACCAGCTCATGGGATAAAGCACCACTCACTGTCTGTATCATTTCTAACGATCACACATGCTTCTGTTTATACTGGACACTCCACCTTACCTTCCTGAATAACACAGGGTATAGGATGATGGTTTCTAGCTTATGTGAAGACTTGTTACAGTCTTTAAAGAGGAAAGCATCAACAATGAATCAACTTGATAGATGACGGAATGACAAGATCAGTGGTAAAACGCTTAAATTTTCAGGACTTTAAGCCCATCGTCAGCTAGTAGAAGACACTCATAAAGCTGACACACTGATAAATGGCTCCCTCCTGCAGATTTTTCAGTCCCTTAGTCTCTCTCCGATCACACACACAGGTCCAGGCCTCACAGAGCAGGGTGAGCCCAGTATACAGATCACAGACACACTTCTTTATTTACATAAAGGTATGTTTTACTTCCTCCCCTCACTTTTTCTTTTGACGGGAACATGATCCAGACATTTTCCAGATGTTCTGGCCGTGCTGCACAGCTGGGCACACTTAAGTTTCCCCCCGTACCTTTGTTTTTGGTCTTTCAAGCACACGCTACTTTATACAGCTATACTGTATTTGTGTTCACATGTTTCAGTGAAGCAAAAAAAAATGAATATCCTGTTTTAATCTCATAGTGAAAAGACTATAAAAGACTACGCTTGACCTTAAAAGGTATCAACAAGTGAGACTTGAGTGGGGTAAATAATGCAATTAGTTCCATTCTGGACATTATTGGGAGAGAAATCCAGACCTTGAAAGACAAGTCTTTGGGAAGTTTGACAGTCAGTAGATTCAAATTTGTGACTTTTTTCAGATTTTTCTGTTGTGCTGCCTGAGTTGTAACCAATCTAGCATCTTTTGAATAGGAGTCTGCATGATAAGCACAACTGAAAGAGTTTTGGTTACAATTTGTATAACTACTTCCCTTTGTGTTGTGCTAGGTGCCATGATATCGGAAATCTCAAGCGTTTCTAGTGTTTGTCAGGCAACAGTAGTGTTTCGACTGACAGACCTGTGAGGCCCAACCCTGGAGCAATTCAGAGTTCTGATTTTTACATTTAGCACAGCTGCTGCGACATCTGTCACAAGTGACAGACTAGCCTCTTATGTCAGGGTTTGTGGAGGGGCCGCTGAATGTAGCTGGACTGAATAAATCACATTTGGATTTAAAGAGCTGTAAAAGCCCATGCCAACCAAAACTTTTGAAATTATTCTAACAGCCTAGTGCCTTTTAAAATTAGCTCTGAAGGTGGGTCTGGATGTTTAAAAGTCATAACTGTGTTATTATGTAGGAATTTAAAAGAGTTGCTCATATGCCCCATGTGTCACACTTTTCCGTTTTCATATATACTTTGCTTCATTCCCTTCCCTTTGTATCTTTTGCTCTGCATCTGGTTTTCATTACCATCCCCACTCTCTGCACTTCTGTGCCTGTACCTTTCTTCTTCTACAATGTCTCCTCTCTATATTCCCATCAGCGTCTTTTTCAGGGCCTATTTTTTCCTTCTTGTGCTTTATCTCTTCATCTCCCCCCTGCCCCCTCTCTTACCCTCCCTCTCACCTCCTGCTTATACTTTTGTCGCTCACTGTGTTCTTTTCCATGGAAAAGCATCTCCCCTTTTTCCCTCCTTTGAAACCCGTTCCTTTTTTTCTTAAATTCTCCCAGAAAAAGAAAAGCTGCAGCTGTACAAATAAGTTCTGCTCCAAATGGCCCGAGGACTAAAGGAAGCTCTAAAACTGGTCAAACACAGAGCCCATAATCGTTGTTTCTTACCTGTACTGGCGGACGGCTCGGTTGTGCTTGCGTTGAGCTTTCCCAGTTTTGCTGGTTTGCTGCTTTGGGTTGCTGTCTTGGAAGTTGTCCCATCAGCCTCCTTTGTCCTGGTCGGCTCACCTGTTGTAGATGTTTGGGTCGCTTGTGGTGTTGAAGTGCTGGGATGCAAACTGTGGTTTGTGGCAGGCTGTCCTGCCGTCTGTGGCTGTTTGTCGGGATAGCCAGCAGCGTCAGATGTGGGCTTGGCAGTTGTCATAGCAGCAGAGTCTTGCATTGCATAAACTCTGTCGGTTGAAGGATTCTTTGAAGAGACCTGACCTAGAAATTGAAGGAAAACACATTTTGTACATGGTGAGACACCTGACCTGGACTTCTTACGATCACAAAGTGATCATTCTTATTTTTCCCACCTGGAAATTCTTCAATCTGAGGAGATTTCTGGGTTCCTATAGGAGATGGCGTGGCACTTGTCCTGGGCTGTGGTGTTGTGGCAGTTGTGCTGGTTGTTTCACTCGTTGTCAGCACAAATGGGTAAGTCTTCGTGGTCTCACTGTCCGGACCTGTGGGTTTTGCATCTGTCAGTGTGGATATCATGGTCTGCTCCTGTGGCCGATACTGAGCCAGTTCATCACCGACTGTTGGCAGAGGATCAGGTGGTTCTTTCTGCACCAACACTGCCGCGTGAGTTCTGTTTGATCCAGATCCTTGTGAATCCACGTCCTTTGTCACTTTGTCCAGCTCCTCCGCTGGACTCCCTGCTTCCACATCTGCAGTCTCAACATCAGTGGAGGGCAGCGTGGGCAGCAGTGGGCCTTTTACAGCAGGGTCTCTTGTGGAAGCACTGCTAGCTAGTAATCTCGCTGTGTCAGTCCTGGACCTGGAGGCTGTGGGTTGGGTTCCAGTCCCTCCTCCAGAAAGGTGTTGCGTAGGAAGCCTCGACACGAAAGAGGGATTGAACTGTGTTGCTGGATGCGTTATTCTTCGCTCCTGCTCGACAGCATTTGTTGTTGTTAAAGTGTCCTGGAGTCTAACTTTGATCGGCACATCACTGCGCCCTCGGGGACGCGAAGAGGGCCAGAATGGAATAGTGTCTTTGGTTGGAGGAGGCGAGGAGTCACTTGGAAGGTCAAGAGGAGGGCGGGAGGAGCCGATGATGGTCTGGGCGTCTGAAAAACGGATGAAGGAGAGGTGGAAAACCAGGAACAGGAGGGGCATAGGTGCCATGGTCTGTCCTCAGAGTGGGGAGCAGCAACGATCCAGTTAGGAGTCTCCGTCTCTCTGTCACTCCATCCTTTCATGGTTGAGAAAAACAAACAGAATTAAATGAAGCGCTGCGGATGCTTCAACACTTGAGCTTGATCAATATAACAGTCATTAAGAATACACTACACACTATATGGAGCACATCTAGCTCATCTAGCTGAATTGGCAGCAGCCCTTAGTCAAGTGAATAAAGACTGGCCTTCAATACTTTTTTCATATAATTCTAAAACACAGAAACTTAAGGTTTGGATGAGGGACATGAGAAGATAATGTTTATACGCTCCCTCTTCTTGTGGATTTAGTGGCACTGTTCCAAAGTTTGCTCATGCTTAACGTGTGAAATAGTTTAAATCTCAAATGTATTTAGGGCTGCATGTATTCTGAGGGGGTGCATGTTGCGGCCCGACTTTTGCTGACTCAGGTCAAAGAGGCTCGCACAGAGTTTTTACAGCATGACACTGGAGGACCGGCAGGGTGTGGTCAGGTGTATGGTTTCAGAGGACATGTCACACAAGCTGTCGGACATGAACACACACAAAGGCAAAGCCAGAGCCTTTCAGTTCTGTAGTTTGCTCTATCAAAACGACCACGATAAAAGAACCAACGCAGTCGCAGATGGTTTCATTTAGTAGCAGATGGACGAGTTAACTTTCGTTCTCACAATTTGTGCCGTAAAATGTTCTCTGGGAGATTATCAGGTTTTCTGTCTCTTCCGTTTTTTAATGTTCTCAGTAGCAGGGCTTCCTGGCCAGCTCAGTTTGAGTCATGTTTTCCAGAAACTGACAGAGAGCCAGGTGACATGTAGAAACCCCCCAAGCCATTGGTGAATGCGCAATCCCACTAGTCATCTAACTAAACAGCTACTGGTTACATCCCTTAACATCCATCTTCTTTTTATTACATAAACCTCCCCTGTTCGCACCAGTTTCTACCCATGACTCACAGAGGGAGATAACCTCTGGGAGTAAAAACAGGATGATACCAAAAAAGCTAAAGCACAAAAACAGAATAGAAATCAGTGCCTATGGGAGAATTCATATGTCTGGATATGAGTCACCCTGCATCCATTCACGGCCACAATGATTGGGTCTCCAGCGTTAGCATGAGCGTTCGGCGCTTATGAACGTGTGTGAAGCGTGAGTAATCTGTGTGAAGGTATGGAAAAGGTGTGTGAACAACGGTCTGTTACCAAGTGCAGAAAGAGCAGCTGGAAATTTTTATTTCTAAACAGCATCCTGTTTAGAAACTGTTTTAAATGCACACACATGATCTTTTGAGAAGGAAACCATCAATGTGTACAGTGATATAAGCCAGTGGACTGTATCTTACTCTCAACCCACTCACAGTAGCCTCACAGTGTTTATTTTGTTTCCTGTCTCAGCCACCTCCTCTGCGATCTCCAGTTAATTCCTAACACCCACCCCCCATCATATGCCTCCTTTCTTCTTGTCACCCATTTTACTCAAATTCTTTTAACACTGTATGATTGCATGAGGGCTGAAAACGGTACAGGAGATGGAAAGATAAGTTAATAAAAACAATAGGATGCTTACAGGAGAGAATAAGCAAGATGGAGAGAAAATATAGATGATGAAGAGGGTGAACGGAGCATGATGTGATGAAGCTGACAGTGGAAGCTGGGTGTGGGTGAAGAGCTGAAAGGATCAGTGACAAAATTAAGACTGAGAGAAAAAAATTATAGCTGTCAATTTAGAGCATGGTTGATGGAGTGGCTGGTTAATATAAATTGACAGAGACCAAGGAGTAGAAAGGCTGACGAAAGCAAGAGAGTCACAAAAAATGAATAAATAGAACTATTTCAGGATTGAAAACCTTGTTAGGGTTCCTGTGCCGATTAGCTACCTGGCACTGGGCATTTACTGGTAGGTGAACACGAGCGACCTAGTTTTAAAGCTGACTTTTAGTAAGCATAACAGTATCTTAATCCACTGTAAGACAGAGCAAGCCAGCTAGCCTGTGTCGTGACTTAAAAAAGGCATCTGACCAAAAAAGATTTGAAAGAGTTAACAAAGACATTTGAAACGCTGTCAGAATGAATCTCTTCTCCACGCATCACCCAGATGCCCAAACACCACAGCTGTTCCCCCCAAAAATGTTCTTCTTGACTCAATCTGGACAATTCAACTGAACTGTAGATTCAGCCAATACAAACTGAATCAATTTGGGAAGATCCTCTGGGTTACAAGACAGGGAATATATTTCTTATATAATTTCAAGTTTGCTGTCATTTCGAAGACCCAATCGTTTTTCCTGTCAGCCATTACACTGTCTGCATCGTTTAACTCTCACTGGCACATATTATGTACTACAGCCATAAATGGAGACTAAAATACACGCATAAACACAGAAGCACATAAAGTGCATCCCTCTGTGACTATCCACGGGAAGAAAGCAGATGGTTGCACGCTCTGAGTATTTTTATCATGTTCAGCCCCTGGGGCCAAGGGACACTTCACTCTAAATTTCATTTGTACTGCTATGAGCATGTTGTGTAGATGTCATCACTCTCTCTTATACAATGTGGGCTTTGTCTGGGGCAGGAAAAGCCCATGGATAATATCCAATACTACAGCAGCAAGCAACAATCTGAAGATTACTGTAAACTCCTTGCCCATCGTATAGACCTGCTGGTTACATAACCTCATGACTAACAACTACAGCAGCCGCTACTAATCAGTTAATCCCTGCTGCAGTGAAGTCATGTCTACATTTATGATTATGACTAACTAACATGACTAACTCATATTTCAGCTTTCCATATGGAACCGGGCAGGCGCGGGGGTGGGGTCACAAGTTTGAGGGGAATCTCCTTCTTTCTTGCAAAGCTTTACTCCCTCCCTCTCTCGTTGCCAGATTCCAGACAGTCTGGCAGTGAAACTTTTCCATTGATTTAAATGAATAAGTACGTCTGTGCACACAAAGGAGGCTGATCTAACGCACACACTTGTCTCCACAAGCTCTGTTCAGGTTTGTAATAATTTTTCGTAATGAGTTACAGGTTGCCTTAGAACAGGGGACTTGGACTATCAACAGATGGCACTAAATGTCTGATCCAAGTTGCCAGAGTACTAAAAACGGACCAAAAACGGACCAAAAATTTAAAAAATGTAATCAGACATGACATTTTATTTAACAGATCTAGAGACAAAAAGGGGTTGTTTCTGCCTTTGTATTTTCAGCTGCAACTCCTTCTTTAAACCACTGATCACTTAGTCTCAAAACCAAAAATGGAGCTAGAATGATGCGGTCTGCTAAGGCTATGCGACTAAAACAATTTTTTTTTTTAAATGTATTTGATTAAATATCAGGAGTTGTACACACATTCAAAAATCTAATTAATTCTGCGTCAGGGCTTATTAAACATTTGAAAAAGTGGGCGCACAAGAAAATATGATAAAGAGCAACAGTCAAATAGTAGTCAGTGTGTGGTGTGAATATAGTGAGGAGACACATATTTCTACTCAATTTTCCAGCTGTTTTTATACACGTGAATAGAGTGGATATACAATTCGACAGCAGATGGCACAGATCACTGCAATAAAGCAGTTATGTAATATCAATGATAGCCCCAGGTGGTGCTAGTGGGAAACTGTCACATGTGATCATCAGTCTGTGTAAATTATCTTTGGAGGATAATAAGGGGCTCCAAAATTTCATGGAAACCCATCCAATGGTTTTCATAGCAAACAAACTGTAAACCAAAGAAGTGGGCCATCACCATTAATGTGGATGAAAACAAGCTTCCCACATTTATGCTATCGCAGGTGAGGAATATTGGATCCTGAGTGTGTGTCAGCAGCTCAAAGTCACTACGCCATCAACGAAAAACACGAGTTGGCTCGACGTCTGGCCTGTGTGCAGGGAGCTGCCAAGCAGAAGAGTAAATGAATGACAGGTCAAAGAACCACGTTGTAACAATCAGATAACAATAAAGGTGCAGTTAAAGTATTTCTGCAAAAACAAAAGGAGACACTACGGGGAAAGGTGGTGAAAAAGACACTTACAGTATCAGTATGTGTCGGAAATATTTATCGAAGAACGGTGTCATTGTGATCCTCTGTATAGTTCACCAATCAGCTACCTCACAGATGTGCAACTCATTTACTACAGAGAGGTGTGACTGTGAGGAAATGAATGTATGTGAACATATCATACGAGAGCCAGAAAGAGAGGGGAAATGGAGGGAGTATGAGTGGTGACGCTGGTATGCGAGCGGTGGGGGAGGCTGCTGGTTTGACCGTTACAAAATTCCACACCTTGAAATAACATGTGGATTACAAACAACTCTCACACTTCCACATAAAATCAAAAACAGGGATTTCATTGTAACTTACAATAACCCATTTTAACACACTAAATTGAAAGTTTTCCAGGTACTACTAAAGGTTTTCCCGGTGGGGTCACCCAACATTCAAACTTTAGCTCAAAACAGCTTCTAAAGACCCTCTTGCATGTGGCTTCGCTGGGTGGGTGTGTATGTGGGGTTTTCAGAGTTTCAGTAGAGCTACCGACCACACAGCTATTTGAAAAGAAGGGGCTACAGAGCCAATCACAGAGTCTTTTGATCCCCTCTTCAAGCAGATGTCCAGGATAAAAGTGCTGAGTCCCCAACTATATTTGATAGACGCCCTGCCCATGCGTGCACATAGAAGGTTGAAGGCCAGCCTGAAACAGTTAGGATGTGACTGCAAAGGCAAAAACACAAAGCAGGAATACTGACAATAAACAAGCATGGAAAGAAAGTTCCATGAAAATGTTACGTTGCCTTTACTAGTTCTGGATCCTGATGTCCAAATTAGCACACACACAGAACCGGAAGCACACCCCTCAAAGTCTGTTTAATGATTGAGGCTGAAGCAAAACCACGTCAAGCCACAAAACACTTTCTGGCAAAGAAATTACAGACGTAACTAGTCATAAACTATTACTTTTACAGGGAT